TTTTTTCTCATTTTTATTTAAAAAATGAAGTAAAAAAAAAGTATCATTCATGTTTAACCTAAATTTAGTGAATAGTATAATAATTTGAGAAATGCCATAAAAAAAAATAAATGTTTGAATTAGCATTATCGATTATAAAATTAAAATTAAATTATAATATTTGCAACAAAAAAAAAAATTCAAACATCAACATGAAGCCATAATTTATGACGATCACATATATCAGCAATTTGTGGTATTGGATCCCATGCACCGTATACTGTTGTTCCAGCTGTTGCACAAACAAAAAACGGTTCCATACCTGAAATAGACTTGTTTTTTTTTTTCTTATAATTAAAATTAACAGAAAAAAAATTTTTTTTTTGAACTTTTAAATTAAACGAAAAAAAATACAGAAATTCTTTAGTTTATGTATAAGAAAAATTATTATTTAAATAAATTTTACCATCTTTTTTACACTGTATGATGCGTTGCTCTAATGCTTCCGGTATCATTCTTCCGGATGGATCAGTTGGAATACTGAAGCAATTATCGGTACCAATACCCATTACAGCTGCTGCTCCTTTGATTGAGTAATGACTCTGTGTAAAACTTAATTAAGTAAAAAATAAAAAGGTTTTTTTTTTCTTCATTAATTTGCTTCAAAAATTTCATAAAAATTTTGTTGATTTTTATATGTCAAATTATTACTTTAAAAAGTTTTAAATAATTAGCAATTATTTATTAAATGATTGATTAATTTAAAGAAATGAATTAATTATATTTTGAATTGCTTAAAATGATATATTATTTACATCTTCCGAAGTGAATGTGCAAAGAGTTGGTAAATCGCTTTGTCCAAGTGGTTTACATCTTGGGAAGCGCGAATGTCGCGCTGCATTCATCGCATATAAATTTGAAATAGCACCACCTGTAACTCTTATAAAATTTATTCAGGTAGAAGATAGTACAGAGAGAGAGAGAAAAAGAGAGAGGGAGAGAATTTGACAGTTATTTTAAAAATATTTTTTCAACTATGTAAAATTAGGTAATATGAAAAGGTAAAAAATTTTTACTTCTTACATTTGCTATAAATTTTTTTTTTTCATTAATCTATGATTACAATATTTTTAAGACTAAGGAAAATATTATTTTAAAATAACTTAACTTTTTTTTTTTATTAATTTGACTTTTCTATACAATGATTATATTCACATTCTTGTTTTAAGAGAAAAAATTTCATCTTTCCAATAATTTCAATTAATGAAAAGATTTTAGAAATCAGAAATGAATGAGATTCAATGTGAAAGTAATAAAAATTTAATAGCAATGTAACAAATAAAAATTTTCACCTTTTCTTATTATCTAATTTTACATAGTTGAAAAAAAGAGGAATAGTTAAGATTGAAATATTTTTAAAATTGCTCATTTCACATTTCAATAAACTTTCTCAATGCTTCTTATGCCATAAAAGTTTTAACTCATAAATAAGAAAAAATGTATAATGCAAGAAAAATTAAAAAAGAGAGAAAAAAAAATGAGTCATCAGAAAAAAAAATCTCTTTTTCATATTTATTTTCTTAATTTTGTTGAAGAAATTGTTGAATAAACACTTATGAGGCAATAAGTTTAATCAATTTAGCTATTAAATGTTCTTTTATTTGCATTATTTGAATATTTTGATTAGATTTCAAAAATTTTACTGAATTTTAGTTTAATTTATCTGATAATAAGAGGCATTATGATATTATGTAATAAAATATTTAAGTATATTTGAGAGTTTTATAAATTAAATTTGATACCGGGAGCAAAAATAGCATCGCTATCTTGCCAACCAATTAATTCAGCCATTTTCTTCGTCACTTCTTTTTCCATTAAAATAAAAACTGGTGCAATTTCATAAGTAAACCTGTGAAAATATTTTTTCCAAAATCACAATATATAAAAAAATAAAAATATATTTAAAATAAATGCAAAAAAAAAAATATTTTCCAAAAAAACGTATAATTAAATGTGCAATTAATTTCATAAAAGACTAATTATATTAAAAATTAGTAATATAATAAGGTAAAATAATTAACATAAAATTGAATATGATAAAGTGAACCTTATGATTGATTAATAATATTTATTAATTTATAATGAATTAAGCTAACAACAAAAGAAATAAATCATTTCTAATTGATATGTTATTTTTTTTTTTGTTTTGAAACAAAATAATAAATTTTTTTTCACTTCTCACTTCTTTAATTATTTAAATAATTTTTACTAATTAGTAAATGCTGTTTTCTTCTTACTTAACTTTCTTTTTTTTTTATTAACTTTTTTTTACTAATCATTTTTAATATTCCAAAGTAATATGATATCATCATTTTTATTTTATTTTCTATAAATAACGCACTAAAATCGTACATATTTGTATTAGCAGTAGCAGTAAGCCATTCACCAGCCATAGATACCAGGTCAAGTCCGCATGATATTTGATTGAAAAAGCGCGGATGTCCAGTTCGAACACCCAAACGTAATACTTCTCGACAATCCTAATCAGATTTCTTAGTACTTTGAAGTTTTTTATATGATTGAATTATCAAAGCAATAATTTAGAAAAAAATTATTGTTAATGCATAAATTAGAAATGTTATGTATTGCCAATAAAATATCAAATCAAATTTAATTTAATTATTTAATTTATTCATTCATCATTTCATATTTTTTAGCTTTTATTTAATGAAAAGAATTTTTTTTTTTTCATTATATCTATTTAGAATTTAGTTGTTCACCTGAAGTAACTGATGTAAAGTACGTGGATTATCCGGAATACTTAGATCGATTAATTTTTGCATTTCAGCCGGATGATAAAAATCCAAAATTTTATTTTCTCGTTGATTTTCCTCATTGATATATTCTAGGAGAATTTTGACAATTTCCTCCAAAAATTTCTTCGCACTATCCCAATTCCGTTTATTTTGCGGTAGTAACTCTATGATAATTAAAAAAAAAAGAGTATACATATAGATGGTAGATCGAAATTAAATTAACGAGAAATTTTTGGATTTTATTTTTTTTTATAGTAAGTTCTTAATCATTATTTTAAGTACTTTGATATTTAAGTGATTACAACCATTTTCAGAAAAAGTAACATTTAAAAAAAAAATCCCAAAAATTATTTTTATTTTTTAATTGTTACATCAAAATCTCCTATGAAGTAAATAATAAAATTTTAGGAACTTATTTGCTATTTAAGTAAATAGATTAAAATTATAATCGTGAATTCAATTCAAGAAAAGATATAAATGATAACTATGAAGAGATATAAAATCTAATTCATATCTAATTGAGATATTCTATATGAATTTCCTCAAAATTTATGATATTATATTGCTTCAATATAAAAAGATAAAAAAATAAATGACTAAATAAATATACCTGCAGCATAAATTTTGGTTAAATTAGTAGAGGAAGATGTGTTATTGGACTGCATTATAGGGAAGACTTAGATATACAATAAGTTTTATGGAAAGAATGAAATTTAAAAATGCTTTCCTGAAGGCCAATGAAGCGTAAGATGAAGATGACAAATTTAAGGCAAATGCAAAATACCAATATTAAATTTGAAGTGATTGGGAAGAATGTATAGCAAAAAAAAAAAAGAAAACAAAAAAAAAAAAAGGAAAAAAAAAAGAAAAGAAGAAATAATGGGAGGAATTACTTGAAAATGATGAAATGAAAGAAAGAATTACAAAGATCTTAACCATTTGATGAGTGTTATTCCTAGGCAATTTTAGCTTACGGTAATTTTTCATTTAATGCTTTTCATGCCTAATTTAACCAACATATTGTGGTTAAGTTTTTAAAATTGAGAGTACTTCAGCAATATTTCATCTTCATAAACTTTTCATCCTTTTCTTCCAAGCATTATTAGATATTTTTATCTATTTAGGCCAAAAATATTTTGTTTATCAATGAATGAACAAAAACAAAAACAAAAAAAAAGACTATTTAATTCATTGCTACCAAAATGAAATGAATTTTTCATTTACTACATCCAACTTAAAAAGAGTCATTACTCATTTGAAAATCACTAATTCATTTATTTCCATTGAGCATAGATAAAAATTAAGATTTAAAAATTTTTCGTGCGTGATATATTATAAATACTCAATTAGAAAAAAAAAAACTACTTATTCTGAACCATCTAAAAATCACTTCTAATTTTTACTGCAAAAAAAGGTTGAAAATGCTTTGGTAATGTTTCGAATTGATATAGTAAATTTCACTTAAATCATATATTGCAGAAAATTTGCCGCTCCTGATGTTTGAAGTATCATTCCCAACATCATAACAAATCTCATTGATAATGTGAACTATCAAGGCTACCAATAGCAACATACTTTTTATAAATCACCTTCTAATAATAAAATTCATTAGCATAAGATTAGGAATCTGAAATAAGTACGTGGAATCATATGGTACTGGCATTAATATATATATTAAAAAAATATATCATCGTTTTGTTATACTAAACAAAGCAAAATACTACTAGATATCAATTGAGCAGATAATTCTAGAAGCACTTATAATTCTGATAGCAAAAGTCAATTCTAACATAAAAAATCTCCTTTGATTTGAACTAATTCAAAATAATTTTTCAATAAAACTATATCATATTAATTAAATAGCAATAAATACAGAAGAAAAAATCCAGATTCCCTGAGAGAAAGAGAGAAAAGAAAAACGATTAAAGCAAAAGTCAGAAAGCCAAAGAATGTTAACCCTTATTGTTAGCAAAAACCATAATATAATTTAATAAATCCTTATGTCGCACGCATTAACATATAAACTCACATCTTTTCACTCATTGTGTTATTCATTGAATGTCTTTACTTCCGAAAGAGAGAAACATCAACAACTAATAAACAAAACAAAGGAATAGCTAATTTGAAATGAAACATAAGTAAAACCAGTGCATAAGTGAAGATAAGCTAATAAAAGAATCAGATGACAAAATGCTCGACAAGCTATCAACATGTCTTCTTTTTTGCATTACAAAGTCGTTTATGCCAATTCTGTGCTAACGAATTGATTATGGAAAGTAAAAACCAGACTATCATGGAGGTAACAATGAATGAAGCACCCTTCTGAAGCATGGTACTGTCCTGAAATTACATTAGAATTTGATTCTGTCTTCATAACATGTTTTATATAACTTGACAACAGGAATTTACCACAATATTCATCCTACCATTGGCCAAATATCTGATCGATTTCGAACCACAAAAAAAAAAAACTCCACAAAAAATTTAAAAAACCGTTTATTTTCCTAGTAAACAAAGTAGCAAGTATTACCTCAACATGCGCAGCCCCACTTTTATGGAGCTTAATTTTCTGAAACGCTAAATACTCCATCAATTTCTGGTGAAGGCGTATGCCAAATACCGGAACCGATCTGAAAATTGTTTGCTATATTGGAAAAAAAGAGATCAAAGGAATTCTATTATTTCAGGTATGCGATCGACTGAAGTGTGAAAAAAAGATGCCAAACAATACCATTACAAATACTTTTTATTGGGAAAACACACTAACTTTAAGTGAACTATAAGATGCTCCACTGTGTTTTCACTGAAAGCCAGCACTACCAAAAACATCTAAAAACAAAATTTCAGAAAGAATGACCAAGAAGTCCGAATAAACATCAAATACATGACATCAACCGGTGTGTTGTTATGTTAGCAAATGATCGAAACGGTGAGACAGAAATAAAAAAGAGAATACCTGAAGGTGCATTTTGAAAACAGCTTTTCCAATAAGAGTTGCTAAAAAAAACTTCCAAAAAGGAACCAGGAAATGTCCGCATGTTATACCAGCTAAATCGAAAAATGGATTCGGAATCTAAAGAAAAAACTTTGAAAAATAGCAAATATACAAGAAGATGAATCAATTAAAATGCACACACACAAACAGAGAGAGAGAGAGAGAGAGAGAGAGAGAGAAAGGGAGAAATGTAAACTCAAACCCTTATTTCCATTCGAATACAGCTAATATATAGAAGCCATTTCCTAAGACCCATCAAAATTCGGAAGCCATATATCCTCATAAAAATTCATCCGTATATGAAATTCAATCAGAAAAACGACAAAACTAGATATCGAGAAAATGCCTACTGAAGCAAAAGAAAGAATGCCGAAGAACCCAAGTTTAGTAACTGCTTTCTCCATTAGTCCTTTACACTTCTCAGCAAATGTGGGTGCTTTGGGTCCACTTTGATTAATGTAAGCTAAAAATTCTCTGAAAATAATACATATGAAATGAGAATTTGAAAATTCATATGATGGCTAACCAAAAAATAATTTAACCAATAATCAATAAAAAAACAATATAAACCTGTATTCTTCATCATCTGGCTCTTCACCAGAGATTCGTGCTGCCTTCGCCATAAAGTAAGGTGGTAATTCACCTAGTGCCGTACCAGCACCCCACATAAGTGCTTCGACGCGTACCTGGAGTAAATTTTAATACGATCAGACTTCACTAGAAATTCATTCATTGCTGAAAATTTTATTCTGATCAACATACTTTTGACATTATCGACCACATTGTCACTACTGCCGCTTCCATGACACCTTCCACATTGGGACATGAAATTCTGAACAAAAAAAAAAAAAAAAAAAATTGTAAATGCATAAAATTGTCACTATTAGCTACTTTGTTTCGGTCATCTTATGAAATAAAACAGTACAAACATTGCACTTTTCAAAATTGTTTTGACAAATCACTAAATGCTAGAACCTTTCCGGATATGGTGGTTCAGGAAAATCCAGTGAATTACATTCATAAGCTGCCATTGTGACTGAAGCTATATGTGGCCCCTGTAAGCTTACGAGTTTTCAAAAACACCGTTACCTCAGTAAAATAAGAATCAAAAATGATTTGAGTTTCTTTTTTTTTGTGATGAATCTTTCGTGAAATGCTACCATTGCTGTAAGCTTTGAAAATTTTTGCAGTGTTTTCAGAATGTGCTTTAAAACAATAAAAATAGGAAAAAGTTTCTTCCCATAGTTCTCTCTCACAAATAACTAACGAAAGAGGTAGAGAACTCACAAGGTACAATATAAATGTATGGAGACCAGTTCCAAGCCCAATAGATGACAGTACACCCAAACCTATCCAATACAAACATTGTAATGACTTCACTTTCCAACTTTGAATGTATTTTTGATGAACGCCAGGAACATGACAAATATATGTCCCAACCGCACACAATAACAAAACGAACAATATACGAGCTTTGTGGAACCATAAGCTTAAAATAACGCTCAAATGAATCAAAAATAATTCTACATTTCATCTGGAAAATTAAGCAGTAGAAAATATTAAAGCATAGAAATCAACAAAAAAAAAAAAAGCTTTTGTTTAAAAGACTAAAACACTGATCCATTAGAATCACAGAAACGACAAAAAAAAAATTGAATTATCTACACTATCCCCACACAACATTTATTTGTATTTAAAATACTCTTCAGTGCATCTTAATTCCTCTTAACTAGAAACATTAAGTAAAAATCTTGACATTTTTGAAATTTCGATAGAAAAACATACTAAACGATGAACTCGACCAATAGCTGTAAAAGTTCACGAAGAGCATAGTGAAGTGTTTGAATAGGCCTTTTCCAGAGAACAATTTTCTGCCGTTCTAATCTGTTTAATGTTCCAACAGATGGACTTGTTATTAAACCTCTACCACTCGGTTCCATGTAATAGTCACTAAAGAAATAGACAACCTTTTTCAAATTCATGTAGAACATCAGAAGCAATGAAACCGATGAGATTTGAAATGTTCCAAGACAGCATTACAGATTTTTCATTTTCAAATTTGTTCATTTATTGAACTTTACAAGCTATAAATCGTTCTTTGTGACAGAAACAAATCCAAACAAAATATCATCACTGGTCGCAAGAAAACCCATTGTAAGTTCTACAGCTTTTTTTTGATATTTTTTCTTGGTATCAAGTGTTATTATAAATAAGAAAAAATTTTTTCTAGTATTCTGCTGCAAAATTATTACATATAAATGTAGCACCTAAAATACAATACAGCTTTCAACTATCCAGTGATATTTTCCTACCGAATTTCCTACAATTTTCCAGAATCGCAGGTGGATAAACAGAAACTTATGATTTTGATAATCAAAAATGGGGATAAAATCAATAAAATGTTGGATCCTTGCTTCATAATGTGAAATGAGCGGATTTTCATAAGAAAATATATTAAAGGAAGAATACCTTCCATTATTTGATTTAATACACATATTTTCACGTACTCAACTAACGAAAAATGAGTCACCTGGGTTCTTTTGAAGATTCATCAAATGTAACTTGTCTAACGAGTGGCGAAGCGCTCACGGATGGTACTGATGAAACTTCCTCCGTATTTTGCGTATAACTTCGCTTTTTTTTGCCCATAATACTGCGTGATATTTTTACACAGCTTTTTCGACTTCTGAAGAAAAGAAACTTGATGGTAATGTGATGAATAAAACTTTCCCCATGCTTTGTGCATAAGTGCAAATGCCACTGAATCTAAGGGACCTTAAGATATAAATGAAATACATGCACTTGTTGATGATAATTATCTCATTTCTTTTATGAAACAATCATAATACTGAACGTTATTAGCAACAAAAATAATTGATTAATTTAGCTTTTTCCTAGCATTATGTCTATATCCTCCCGTAAGAGCAATATCAAGAGAAACATATGATAATCCATAATACTTCATCAATAATTACCACGTACGAAGACGTACCTTACTCTAAACACTTTAGAATGCATCCACTCAGCCTTATTTATCTTCCCGAATTTGGTGTACGTCAATAATATATATGTATATATTTTGTCTATCTATGAGCACAAACTCTACACTTATTTTATCATGGAACATATCGCAACAACAATAACATTAAAATGTAACAATAAACGTAATAAAAGGACATTTCATTGATGGATCAACTGCCACTTCCAGTAACTTTCCGACAAAAGTCAACCACGAATCAATCCATCCATCACTTCTTATGCTCACACCCACTACCAAAATCGAAAATCGCTCTCATATGCTATGGCCCAATAATTTTGAACACTATGAAAACGCTCAGTTTCTTTATATAATTAGATGTGTTCTATTTACGATATCGTAAATTAATGACTCGTATAAGCAGATAAGGAATATCAATATACAATATATATTTATATAATATAAGGTTAATACTAAATGAATTATAAGATAATCACTACAATCTTATTACTATGTTGAAAGGAACAGATGGATTGCTCACAGGATGATTACTTGTTGTAGAATAATGTATGAAACTACTAGTACGTAACAACGACACAAACAAACAACATCAATAACAAAATCGAAAACATCAACAACTATTCAATTTTGAACATCGTACGACTCTATAGACGGCATCCAACTATCCTTGCACAACAGTTGTCTTAATTGCAGTAACCATGTACTTTTCGCATCATCATTTTCTTTTTCTAACTCATTACACACCTATAAAAAGACTTTACATATTTTACATGAAAGCTATTACTGCAAAATTACTCAATTAAGAGGGATATTACTTTTTTTTTAAGTATAATAAAATGTAACATGAAATCTAGATCATCGGACCATATCTTCCCTAAATCATGAAAACATATTATTCTTATCGTGCTTATATAATATTAAAATTAAAAGAAGAACCCAAAAAAAGCTGCTGCTAAAGAGTAGCTAGTAAAGATTAGCTTTGCTAAAGTTTTTGAATTCCACATGAGAAAAGATACATTATTTGTATAATCTTCAGTCTTCTTCACTCTTTTTTTACGAAAAGGAACCAACTTTATTTCCAAGCATTTCACATGTTTTGTACACTATAGTTTTACGCCAATTAGTTTCCATAGAATCACTATTTACGTTACCAGAATAAATATCTCTAATATGAGTAATAAGCGTAATAAATAATTGGCACAAAAATACACGCTCCCAGCTAGTCATCTTTGAGTTCTGCAAAAAAAAAAAGATCAAATTAATACTTTTATCTTAGAGAATTATCCTCCAAAAACTTAGTATACAGAAATATAGTTCTGGTCTACAATTTGTTTTTTAAATCGTAAAATATCTATTAAAAAAGTAGACGATTTAAAGATAAAGCAGAAAAGCAAAGTGAAACATCGAACTTGCAAAGTTAAAACAATCCAGGAATGCAGATTCTGTCGAACATATAAATCATTAGCTAATGATCGATGTTGCAAAATAGCCCTAAATGACAGCAAAATGTATTTCCTGGTTTCCTGGTCAGCAATGATACTGCCAAATAGTGATAATAATAGCTTGATCCCATATCTAAAAGCCAACTATTATATTAATTGGCTTTTGCATCATGATAAACAAAAAGAAAAGCACGAACAAATTTATCAAGATACTAAACCCACTAAAGCATCAATGTGGCATTCCAGTATCATCCCCTAAAGCTATTCTATCTGCTCTTAGCCTGGATTCATTTAAATCTTCCTCACTGTGCAAAAATAAAAAGCATTTCTGCGAATTCCCATATTATTCTAGAGAAATTAATCCACTTTTTTCACTATTGCTTTCTAAAACTTGAATTTGGATTATTCAAATTTGCAACTAGATATCTGCAAAACATCTCTTATCATACTCCAAAACATGCAGAGCGCAACAATAATACAAAGTTGTCATTAAATTGGAAACTTCAGGAACTAATTCTTTCCGAACTCCTTACTGACAAATTATTTAAAACGAAAAAAAATTATTGAAAACAAATCTTTTTTGTAAGATGTTGTAATCATTCGGTTCAATGAGTGAATCCAATATCAGGCGTAAGCACCAATGACGCTCCTTGTTGTAATGCTCTATACTTGAACTCAGTAACAGTTTGTAAATTTCAGGAACATTTTGAACATCAATATTTGGCTTAAGCAGTAGAAACGATAGTACTGGTTGATAGACTGGATCTTCGGGATGCAAAATCAATTTCGTGACTCTTGCAAAAAAATGTGCGACAACTGCAATAGATGATAAGCACACTTTTTTTTTTTCTGCTTAAAACTAAACACTGTGGAAGAAAAGCTATAAGGAAAAATTGGAACAGGGATGGAAGTGCATCTCAGCATTTTGTATGCAGCATAAAAAGGCACTATGGGAAACCAAGACAGTATCTATTATATTGCAGTTAAAATCTATCGAAACTAAGAAGATGGACATGCAAGACTATAATCGAAATATGACATTACCGCAATAACAATCAAATAAATTAAAAATTAAAACTGTTCGAGCGAATTACAGTTCTATATAAAATTTGCAAGAAATCAAACTCATATTGAGATACTGAGAGCACACAGAAATCAATTGAAAGGTATTTCAGAGTCAAATCTGTTAAATCATTTGCAATTCAAAAAGCTATAAAATATCAACCGTGTGGTAATCGTTGAATTGGTTTTTCGATACTGTTTTTGAATATTTGCAACAGATAAATATAAAGACACTTTTCTGGGAATGAATCTGTATCCAATTCTGTTAGGTGAAGTAAAAACCGTCTGAGCACGAGGTATGCGACACAACGCTCATTCCGACTAATAAAACTTGTTGCTGCAAATGCAAGTGAAAGACCATTTACATCAATAAATTTTCGACTGTTTATCTGAAAATGATGAAAATGATCATCCTTCATTTGCTAGGATACCATTTTGCAATTAAAACTTTATCTTTCTGATTCTGCATCAAAAATATGAAATACAAAGGGTAACTGATAATACTCACTTTGGCATGGTTATCTAACAAGGTTGCCAATAGTCTAAGTATGAAACGGGCATCATACAACTCATTTGAAGAATCCTTCTCAGGTATTTTGATGCTGGTTGTTTGTTCAGACTTCAGTAACGTATTCCATACCAATTTTGGATTTAAATAATCCAAAACCTAAAATTTGAAGAGATAGATTTAAGCTATAAATTTTACAGAAGTTTAATTCATAAGAGATCTACGAATACTAATTAACACAAAAAAGACCTGATCCGCAGTGAGTTTTGTATGTAAAAGCTGTCCCAGTTGGCGCAATTTTTCGTAATTGTCCTTTGCTCGCTTTCCCCACACCATCGGAAAAAAGGGTCTGAAATTCTTGATACTGAAAATACTGTATTCTCCTAAGTAACACATTTATTTACATGTATTGTTTTTTGCGTGCTCATTTCTCAGGAATATTTTTCATTAAAACTAATTTAAACAAATCTAATTTAATTTAAATGTAATTTAAAATGATGAGTAAAACGTAAGAAGTCAGAAATCAAATAATATACCGTAAGCTTATCTGATACGATCTCTCGAGTAAACAAAGAATATCAAAGATGGCTCTATCTTTCACCGATTCCATTGCATCATATTGACAAAGCAAACGAATAATGAACCCTTGTTCAATTTTTAATTTCACTGCTTGAACTTCTAATTCCTGTGACAAACTACGGATTACTGATCAAAATACAGAATGATGAACCATCCTTCAAGACTGAAAGGCGAAGACTGGCCCAAGAATGAGAATATGTGACTAATATCTCAAGGATACTAAAATTCTGGGATTTAGAGCACCAAGAAATCAAGAAGACAAATAAGATGAAACTAACTTTATCCTTTGAGTTTTCCAAGTAATTTCGAATCCTTAGAAGAATGGTTATATCTAAATCACAATCCTCCAAGAGTATTCTGCTGATATCTGTTTGTATATCATTGTCACATATGTTTTCTTCCATTTTCTTCCGCTTACGAGATGTCATAATTACCTGGAAATCTTCATATTTCTCAACCATTCATTACTTAAAATTCAAATCACGTAATTACCTTCCAAACTTTTTATACCTTTTAAAATCTTCACATTCATGTTTTCTAATTCTTGCAAAAACATGAATGCTCTCATGATTAGATCACTGTGCAAAAATGATCCGATCATATCATTTAAAAATATCAATCAAAAAAGTGCTAAAAAAGTGCTATAAAAGCTCTCAAAGAATTATGACGGGGTTAAGATCATCTCTTCATTAATATAATAAGTAAGAAAACAGTAGGATAGCAGATGATGTACTAATTAGTTATGCAACTATTTCTGACCGGCATTCCAGAATTGGCACGGTCACTACTGGCTCATTTCAAGGTTAGCAGGAAATTTTGTGCTGTAAGAAATGCCATGTCTCCCAGCGTGAGCGCTTGCAGTCGATAGTGCAATCATTTTTGGGTGGTGCACTATCGATTGAATCGGGGAACGGGAGAGTCTGTGGAGGGTTGTGGCAGGGATTGTCCACTGGTTTGGGTAGGGTTGGAGGGTGGGTAACTTTTGCATGGTTTGGCTTGATAATGGTAGAGGCGTAGAGGACTAAGTGCAGAAGATGGCGTGAATTTAGCATAAGGATTGAGTGTTGGGGAGACAGAATAGCTGAGTTATACAGGAAGGCTACGATTTAATTTAATCTTTATTCATATGATTTTTTTCATCGGTATAGGCGAGTACTGTTTGAAAGTTACAGTAACACACTTTTGTCCTAAAAAGCATGGTGTATTAGCTTTTGCATATTCTATCCCACTGTACGAAGACTTCTCTTATATTTTATTGTATGGAAGACAAAGTTTTATGATGAGTTTATTTTGTAAAAAGATCACCAAACGATATGTATAAAAATTTTGTTGCTGATCTATTTTAATGTATAATCGTGGCTCGAAGATGCTTGCATAATGAATAGATCACAATAGCGTGATTTTTTCCTTCCTGCTTAAGAAATTGAAAAAAATGACCGAAGTCGACCAGCATCCACAACAGCCTGAGCAGCTTCAAGAAATGGAAACAAATCTCGAAGATGTTGCTAAGGCATATTTGGAAGTACGGCAACGGAAGGAGGGACCACTGGCTCCACCACTGGATGCCAAAATTGCTGCTATGCTACCAAAGGTAACATTTGTCATTTTTTATTCTTATAAAGAATTAAGTGAGAGAATATTTCAGTGAGACTTTGTTGTTATTTTTTAAAAAGTTAGTTGCTCTTTATTGTATTTATTACACTTGTTTTAGGATATGGCTTTAAATAGTGATGAAAAAGATAAGGAAAAAGAGAAAGAAAAAGATAAAGAGGTGGAGAAAAAGGATCGTCGTAGTAGTGATCGAAGCCGTGACAAAAGTAAAAGTAGAGATCGTGAAAGGCGGCGCCGAACCAAAAGCCGAAGCAAAGATCGTGATCGACGGAAGTCCCGATCGTAGGGTTTTAAATCTGTTTTTGAAACTAACATCCAAATATAAAGCCTAGTGAATGATTGTATAAGTATGAATAAAAAACTTTCTTGAAGAAAGGTTTGCGGTAGCAACTGAGGATTGAATAATTCAAGAAGGTGAGTAGATCAGAGTATATAGAAGATCGAATTAAAGGATTTTACGTTTTGTTTACCAAAAATCATGGAAAGTTAAAGGTTGACATTATTGTCCAAAAATGGAATTTAATTTACTGTAATATAATTCTTCTCCACAGACGCGAACGTCGGCATCATCATCGTGATCGAAGCCGAAGTCGCAGTCGCAAGGAGCGTACACCTGAAAAACCGAAAAAGAAATATAAGTTCTGGGACGTGCCACCAGTCGGTTACGAACATTTGACACCAAAGGAATACAAAGAACTACAGGGTCTGATCTTCTGTTATATGTTAATCATGTGGTTTCCTGATCTGCTACATACACATTTGATCTACACGTTAAATGATAAGCGGAATTTTTTTTTATTGTCTTCATATTTTAGCTGCGGGTCAGATACCACGAAATAATGTTCAGTCGGCAGTACCTGTTGTTGGACCTTCGGTGACTTGCCAGTCACGACGTCTTTATGTTGGTAATATACCGTTTGGCTGCAGTGAAGATGCGATGTTAGACTTTTTCAATCAACAGGTAATTTTGAAATTAGTTTTAAAATGCCTGCTTTAAAATTCTGACCACATTTTATTTACTATTTTCTTGATACCATTATCTTTTGATGATGACTTAGAACTATATAATCTGAGCTTCATGAAATCTTCATCTCATTTGAACATTCTGTAGTATACCCATCAAAGTATTAAAAATCTTCTACAAAATAAAGCAAAATTTCTTATATAATACAGTCTTCGTGGAATGCTTTTTAGATGCATCTCTGTGGTCTAGCGCAAGCACCAGGAAATCCTGTCTTAGCATGCCAGATGAATCTTGATAAGAATTTTGCTTTCATTGAATTCCGGTCGATCGATGAAACAACAGCTGGCATGGCATTCGATGGGATCAATTTTATGGGACAACAACTCAAAATACGAAGACCACGGGATTATCAACCAATGAGTACCAGCTATGATTTGGGTAATATGATGGGTTCGTTTTTGGTTATTTCAATGTTTGCTTGAAGTCAACTGATCGAAGCTCCAGCTTTCTCTGGAAGATTCAGTTATAATAGAAGATTTCTGTTTAATTAATCAAAATTGAGTTGATTATTGTGGGGTTTTTTTCCGGGATTTGTAAGCCTAAAACTTGTAAACTCTTAAGCCGTACAAATGACTCTCCTTGTAGGAGAGATATATGGAACTTAAGGACGTAAAATTCTGACTGTTGAATCAAATTTTAAATAATTTTCAGTGTCCAATATCGTACCAGATAGTCCGCATAAAATATTTATTGGAGGTCTTCCAAGTTATCTCAATGCTGAACAGGTTTGTTGAAGAATTGTCATGTTGTTCCTTTGATGGTAAGATATGGGATGAGAGCTGATTTTATAATCAAAGTTCGACCTGCTATGTTTCTTATCTTGAGTCGGCGTATTTCCTGAGAAGGCAAACACTTTCCCAGAAACTTTTCCATGCTTTCATCTCATCGGTGGCAGCAACTTGGCGCATTCATCATATGACAAATTTTAAAAATTTTTACGAGCTTTAGTGCTTGACTAATTCGGCCACATTTTTTCAGTGGCAGTCAGTCACGAGATGCGCTCTGTTTGCACTGTTATTCGTGATCCAACTGAGTCGGATAATGGAGAAATTGTTACAACACATCATACAAGCCATTACCCCCGCATTTCCCATTTTTAGGTTTTCAGGGTCGAGGTCGAGAAAACATGCATATAACGGGTTGGCATACGCTGAAACCTCCTATAAAATCTTTTTATAATCAGTCTCTTAGGCTGTTACTGGGGCTTCTCTTTTGATATCAAATCCAAATTACTAAAAAATTGGGGCTGTTCTTCAAGCATCTGCTTGTTTTTCAGAATTTCAGATTTTTAGAGTAATGGTGAAATTGATGATTAGCAACTGGTCGAGTAAGCTGTTTTAACTATTTCATGCTTGAGCGCAAAAATTCCAAAATTGTGCCCCAATGCGGTAACAGACTTGCATCAGACATTTTATGGGTTAGGAAAAAGTCACGCTACCGACAGTTTAGGTACACATGGTAGGATTCTTTGACAGATTTAGAGCAACAAAGTTTCAAGTAAATTTTTTCAGGTGAAAGAACTCCTCTCTTCCTTCGGGCAGTTGAAAGCGTTTAATTTAGTGACTGAACAATCTACTGGTGTTTCGAAGGGATACGCCTTCGCAGAGTATTTGGATCCTTCTTTAACAGATCAGGTCGGGTTTTTTTTTTACCAGTTTGAATTCTACAATGCAGTTTCTTGCTGTAATGCAGATATATGCTATTTTAATTTTCCGTATTTCCTGTACAAAAATTAGCATTTCTTTCCAAATTTTTTTTTTTGAGATTTTTATTTTTTTAACACAACTTTAGCATTCTTTAGGAGTGAAATAACAGTAAAAGACTTCAGCTGTGTTGTGAAAATGGGCGAAAGAAATTTCCCTGAAAGGCAAATTTGAAAAAAGTAAACTAAGACATTAGGATGTTTTCAGGCCATTGCTGGTTTAAATGGTATGCAGCTTGGAGATAAAAATCTTGTTGTGCAGCTTTCTTGTGCTAATGCCAGAAATAATGTAGCACAAAATACGTTCCCACAAATCCAGGTAGCAGGCATAGATTTGTCGCATGGTGCCGGGCCACCAACTGAGGTCCTTTGTTTAATGAATATGGTTACCGAAGATGAATTAAAGGATGATGAAGAGTATGAAGGTATATTTGATTTCTCCTTATTTAAAGTAGTTGACATCTAATTCTTATGCAACTATATGTTGGTATTTGACTTTTATTTCATTTCGATATTTCTGTGTTAATAAGTAGAAAATGTCAGGCAGTTGCTTTCCAGATATCCTAGAAGATATTCGAGAGGAATGTGCTAAGTATGGTATCGTGAAATCGCTAGAAATACCGCGTTCAGTTCCAGGAGTGGATGTTACCGGTGTTGGAAAAGTAAGTTCTTTTTCTTTTTTTTTGGTTTTTTGTGGTTTATAAAATCAGTACAAATTTAAGCAAGCTACTATCGGCAGTCTACTCCCTTGTGATATTTATTCCGAATTCTTGCTTGGTTTTTTTTTGTCTCGGAAGTAATAGTAGCAGGGGATCGGGCAGCTTAAAAGTAGAACTAGTGTTAGTTATTATTGTTGGTTGTGACATTCTAATATATGTTTTCCGTTTTATTATTTTACTATTATTAATTGCTAATATTTAAGGTTTTTGTGGAGTTTAACAGCAAGCAGGAGTGCCAAAAAGCACAAGCAGCACTTACGGGACGTAAATTTGCAAATCGAACAGTGGTAACCAGTTATTATGATCCGGATATGTACCACAGAAGACAGTTTTAAATCTGATTCACTCGCATTGTTTTCTTTGTTAATTAATTCTTGAAGATCATATATTTTTTCATCTCAGATATTCATGTAAAAACATCTGTCATGCTTGTATAAAATAATTTTAAGTGTTTGGGACGGTAGTTTTGCAGAAAATGGTTTCCTTTTTGGGGGATTAAATCACATATACTGACTTTTTGATTATGGCAGTCGTTTTCTCCAAGTGAGTCTAACTCAGCGTTCTACTAGAGACCCACTGTGTGCTGATATGTTGCATTGCATAATTTCCGAAGAACGCTGCCTAGACTAAATTTTGTTTTGAAGCTATTCATGAGGATGAAAACTGATCAACATATTCCCTTGTCATCGAAGTTATATATCACAAATTTTTGTCATTTGATTTGAGCTATAGTCTTATATTGTGGACCGAATTCAATTATTCATGGTCAAATGCAGAATGAATCAATTGTTCTATGAATTTGCATAATATGAAGAAGAATTTTGATTTAATGTTGATTTTGTTTTTCGGAATAATGTTTACAAAATTCTGATGCATTTCTGTTGTACGCATCAACATCTTTGACGTAGAGTTCAGCTAAATCAGGACGAAGTACACAACCAAGCTGTGGCGAGCATAGTAACTCCGTGAGTGCAGTTAACACTGAAAAGTGTTGATTGTATTTTGCTGAAATAAGTGCTAGAAGTGAAGCTGATATCCCATGAGATCAGTTCATTAGATCAAGCTGTGGTTCGAGTTGGGTGATTCATTTTGAAGATTATTTAGCAAATAAGAGACGGGTCAATTTCATTGATTCGTAGTACTTTATTCATCCATCATTTTTAGCAACAAGGATTAGTCTCATGTCAATTACTTGCTGTATTGATTTGAGTGATCTTATTATTTTTGTTGGTTGGTCAGTACTTTAGTAAGAAATGTTCTCGTCATCCACTACAAACTTTTCAAAAAATTATCGATGTATTTTACATAATTCTATAATTTCCCGTGTGGAAACGAATGATTGTTTTCTTATCGTTAAAGTGGAAATATATTGTTGAGAAGAAATATCAACTAACACTGATCAATCTTGACGGATGGCTTCCAATTCTCATTAAGTGCCATGGCTAGCGATACCTGATAAGAGAGTTTATTTTATCATGCAATCTGGAGTTTCTAGGAAATTAAAGAGCCATTTTATTATTACTTTTTGAAAATATACCTCTCCTTTTTCATCGATATTAGGATGATAAACTTTGGTGAGGAATTTGATTTTCGGTGGTTGGAATGGATATTCTTTAGTGAATTCAATTTCTACTTTATAGCCACCGATATTGTACGGCCATCGATCCTATTAAAAAAAAAAAAATTTGTGCTAGTGAACAGTGAATAGTACTCACAGGAAAGTATATAAAGCTGTGGGATAATTTCATCTCGAATAGCTCATTTCACAAGAAATTTTCATATAAATTTGCTTATAAGTCAAAGTTTATTTAGCTAAACAAAAAAGTGGACATTTTTGAAATTTCTCTTACCGGCAACAGCGATACTAACCACTTATTCGGATTGCTTTTTCCGGCATCCTCTAATTCATACAGTTTAAATTTTATTTCTTGAATATCGGATAGTTCCTGAATTTATGAAAAAGTCAGACTTAAGATTAAGTGAACCAGCTTTAACTTCCATAAAACAATCTTTTTTCGAAAAAAAAAATACTTTTTTAAGTCTTGTAACTCCAATAGCTTCTTCCTCTGCCATATTCAACCGTTCTTTATGACTTTTTATAACACCAAATACAATTTGAAATTAAAACTGATAATTTAAAAAAATTCAACTAAGTTTAATGCAAATACTGTAAAGTACAATTTATATAAATAATAAAACGATTTTCTACATATATATAAAGTGTCAAATCATGCCATTATTTACATTAATCATCTTTGTAGGGTTGTTAACTGCTATTGAAATTTTCACTCATTCAATAGTTAAATGGAAAGTATTAAAAAATCAGTAGAAAAGGTATAAAAAACAAATTTGTTTTCTATCTAAGTACTAAAAATATTTCTCATTTTAAATTTCATTTTTAAACTTTTTAGTTTTCGTTTGAAATTTTACACAAAATCAGTGAATAATGTTTTTGAGTTATGCTATTAAAAAAAAATGATAGAATTTAAGTTTAAACATTATTTATCATACTTCATTTTAATATATATATATACAATGTTTATCTTAAAATAATAAAAATTTTTTACTTACTAAAATTTTCTCTTTATCTTTTTTTTTCTACAAGTACAGAGATCATTCTGCAAAAAAAAGAAAAAAAAAGTTATCAATAAAAAAAAAAAAAAAAAACAAAGAAATAGGTACATGCAAATGATAAAAATGCAGAAAAGAAAGGAAAATTCTGGGGCAAAAAATTTTTGAACAAAAAATACTTTAAAATAGCAAAAGAGTTTCTCATATAACATTCATTGTATTTGGTTAGTACAAGTGAACTTTGCTAACTCTGAGTTCGTTTTTATATGATAAAATAATAAATGCATATTATTAATTTAATTAACCTTTAATTATGATATATAATTTATATATACTTGAGATGTTAAATTTGCTACAAAGTGTTTTGCTTATTTTTAATAATTCTTTTTTCTTTCTTACTAAAACAGTCAATTTGATATCAAAAAGTAAAAATAAAAAAAGAAAATAAATAAATAAAGGAAAGGAAAGGAAAAAAGTTTGGACATAATTCAATAAATTTTTATTTCCAACTAATTATTAAGTTATAGAATACTCGACCAACAGGTACTCGACGTCATAGAAAACGTCGAAATAAGTTACCACCAGGTTATGATCAATGGGACGATGAAAATAAACAATATTATGAAGTTGATAAATTAATAAACAATATTATCCATTGATAAATTATCATTGAAAAAAAGAAAGTGTGAAATTGAAAGTTTTTCCTCAGCAAAATTATTTGATTAAACAATGATAGAATTAATAGATGAAAACTGCTATGAAATAGTTTAGAAATTTCTTAATTATGCAATTAAAACAACCTGTAATTGAGTATTTAATTATTTTTGCTAATTACGAAAATATTAGTGCATTAATTTAGAAGTTATTCAAGTCAATTGACTTGAATAATTATAAAGAAAATAGGTAAAAATCTAATTTTTTGCTTTTTAAAATTCTGCAAGCTAAATTATTTTTAATTAATGAAATGATTACAATAAAATGAAAAGTTTTAAATTAATGTCAAAATAATTTATTGGAGCAGCAAAAACATTGCAAATGTTTTAAATAGAATTTAGAATTTAACAATTCAAGAAGTCATTATGAATTATTATGAAAGTAATACAAATTATATATCAAAAAGATGTGAAATGCTAGTGAAATCAAATCTCTCTAGGATGTCACCAGTGTTTTGCGACAATGGAAGGCTACACGAATACAATGTCAACTGCGTCGTTTTACAATTGGATTTTGGCAATATCTTAAGGCTAAAGATTAAATACTATTATTTAAGAACTTTTTTACTCATTTTCTCTTATTTAATCAACTGAGCAATTAAATACTCATTAGCATTAGCAGCAATTAGCAACAACTAAATACTCAAAGTTGTTTAATCAATTGAGTTAGCAATTAATTATTTAAACTTATTTGATTAAGCTAGCAATTAATTATTTAAATTTTCTTGAAACAAATGCATGAGGTTATTGTAAAAGGAAAAAAGAAAGGAAGAGAACAAGAAAGAATGTTACAAATTAAGTTTCAATTATTTTTAGTATCAATTAAAAGGACATCCAATGCATGCTAATGAAATGAGAGATTATAAGAATGCTGTAGAAGTATTTGCTGGTTTAAAAGGAAGTCAATCGCTTGATTATGATTAATATTATACTTTAATTATCAGTAATTGATAAAAAGGAATCGATACTACAATATCTTTTATAAATCAACAATAATTTTTTTTTTAATTATCAGATATATTTTTTTAATTATACAATTAAATGAAAGGAATTGCAATCGTATCGAATAATTCTGAGAAAATTTCATGCAAATGAAATTACCACGAATTACACAATAAAAATGAATGGTGCATTGAGAAAATTCAAATTCTCGACTAATTTACATGGAGCTTTTTGCGTCAATTTACGTGAATGTTTTTACGTTATGTCGATTGAATCTTTGCTATTATTAAATCTATCATGTTATGTACATTTCCACATATCTAAAATAAACTTAGAACGAAATATTGGATTAATGAATAATTTTAGGTTATCACAATATCACTAAGAATGATTGAGAAGATATCTTTACTGAAAAGAAATAAAAAGAGACAGACAGATCAATCAATGATGGGTGACATTAATGTACTATGAGACAAATTATATGCAAAGATCAAAGATTAGAATGTAGCAGTATGTAATATTCAGCAAATGAATTCTTCAAGAGTGAAAAATTGAGTTCAAATGATGGAAAGACCAGAGAACATGCATGCATAAATTTGAGAGTAAACAGATGGCTCTTGTCGGAGTTGCTAAAAAGAAAAAATATGATTACTTCAATGACCATTGGTCATTCATTTCAATTAACAGCGGAATTTTACCTATAATTTTATAGTAGAAATTAAACATTGAGAGTGTACATGGAACATTAAGCTTAACACTATATTAGCTTATTTTATTGATGTCTCTTCAAATGTAGCGCGTATCATCCGGTCATTTCCATCCCTTATGATAAATGATAGATATCCTTATCTCCCGGCATGACAAACGACAGATATCCTTATCTCCCTATATGCTTATTACTGTCGCACATGTCATCCACATGAACATTAACTACATATGTTGGAAGAAAAAAAGAACAGGTAGGAAATGCCGAAAAATCTATGTGTCAGTGATCTATGGTCACTCTATGGTCAGTTTATGAGCAAAGTACAAAGTCTACGACCAATTTATATTCACCTCTCTTACCATTCAGTTTACATTTTCTTCTTTCAAATAATTCGATCATCACATATTCATTTTCTAATCACTCCTCTTTCTGATTATTTTTTCATCTCTCAATTCTAGGCTTCTTTGACAACTGTCTTACCTTCTGATATTTCCGCACTCTTAACCATTTGCGCTTATATATGTTTACTTATTTATTTTTTTGTTTATTTATGCATGTATTTATCATTTTACTTATCATTCATTCAGCACCACTCACATTTTAATTTAGTATTACAAAATTAATTATTAAGTGATAATTATGATTATCTCTCATTCTAACCTATTTTTGCATTTTGAAAAAGATTTCATCAGAGAGGAAAATGTGTAAAAATCAATCAAATGACATACAAATATGATAGTGTTCTGCGGTTTTAATAGGATATTATTTCATTAAAATGTTAGTAATGAATGAATTGATAATTAATTACTGCGAATAATTCTACGTAAAATGAAATAACAAAATTGAATGTTTTTGAGAGAATGAATTTTAGAATTTGTTAACTCTTCTTCTCGAAAATTATTTTATTTTTGCAATTTAGGGCATTTTAATCTTTTCCACAGTTTTTGTAGCGATAAATTAATTGAAAGATGTGGGAAAGATTAATATCAAAAATCTTCACTTGGATTTAATTATTTAATTTATTAAATTTGATATGACTTTCTAGATATAAATCTTATCAAATCCACATTCTTATTTTTATTTATCTTAATGAAAATTTTAATAATAAAATTTGAGAGTTTGCTTATTTCCATATGCTATGTGATAGCATAGCGCATGTGAGTAAATTAAATTGTTACGTATCAACTAATTAGTAAATCGTTATCAACTAATTAACAAATCTTTATCAACTAATTACTAATACATTATAGTTTACTGATTATACGGAAGCTAATTTGTTTGCTTAAAATTTTGTTTTATCGGTAATAGTGATAGAGAAATTTACAAAAAGATAATTTCATTAAATAATCAGTTTGTGGAATTTTGAAAATCGTATTATTATCAGTCCTAGCTAATCTGTCTAGCTAAGTAATCAATCATCGTTAACGTTTTATAGTACTTAATCATATCATAACTAAATTTACGTGAATATATGAAAACATAAATACTATGAAAGCATAAATAATTTTCGTTATTGTCTTTATTTTTTCATACTTAATTTTAATTTTATTAATCAAACTATATAACACATTGAGCACTTTCATAACTGACTCTTTTCATTTTAAAACAAAATTTTAAAACTTTGGGTTAAATGTAAATAATTTTTTGTTCATAGCTTCGAAATTTACAAATGTTTTGTTTCTAATTCATTAAGGGAATGTAATTTTTAACAAATAATATTTAGATTTTTTTCACTTTCTGAAACAATCTATCTCAATAAAATGCGAAATAAGAAATATTAATAAGGTTTACTGCTAATCTCTCTTAACGCATTTATTTCTGAATAATAGTAATTGACGATATGATTGATATCAAATTACAGAATAGTCATCAGCAGTGAGAAATATAACGTGATAACTATGTGATAAAGTGATAACTGCGTGATAACGTGACAGTTATATTAAAAAAAAAACAGGTTATTTTTAAAAGTCTTAGTATTATCGTTGCATTACATAGTTTTGTGCAAAATCAACCACCTGTATTTTCATACTTATAATAATAATAATAGATAATATTAGTAATAATAATAATAATGGCAAATTAATTAAATTACTTCTTTAATTATTTTTGTTTATCTTGCAGTGATTGCATCATTTGTGATATACATTGGATGATGCATCGCACAAGAAAACAACACTTATTGTGAGCGAAGATCAACAATTCTTCGTTTTATAATATTTCGTTGCATTTTCCATAACAATGTATAATAACATTTGGAATTCTCGAGTACGACTTGCATGCATTTCATGCTTATTAATACTTCTACGAATTACTTTGGATCAATTGCGCATTTATCTAAATAATTCTAAAAGTGAAAATTATCAAACAGAAAATAATAATGAAGGAAGTTACACTAATGATATGGATTATATATTGGAAACAATGCAATATATGCATGATCTTAAACTTGGTAAAGCTGAAATTCGACCAGTAATTGAAGAAGTAATTTCTTTTTTTCTTTTTGAAATTTAAATATTCTATTTCTGGCATTCTCCCAGACAGAAAAAGATAGAGAAATGCTACATTGATTATTTTGAGTAAAGATTCTTATGTGAAACTCTTTTCAAGCTATTTGTTATTTCTAATTGTTTAATTAAATAACAAAAATTGATTCTTTTTATCTATTATATTATATATGCAATTTTTTACTTTGTTTTTTGTTTTTATTTTTAGACTAGAAAAGTAAGAGAGTATTGGTGGAGATGCAATTTAAAAATGCCTAAAGTTGTGATAGCAAATGATTGGTTTCAAAACGATGATCTCTATGTATATTCAGCAACCTATGATAGACGACGTAATTCACTTTATCCAAATAATCATGTTGTACAGGTAATAATACATAACTTACGTTATCTAAATAATCATATTGCATGGATAAGTAATACATAATTTATGTTATTCGAGCAATTTTGTCGTACAAAATGAATAATTTCATTTATCTAAAAAAATTTATACAATTATAATAAACAATAAGAAAAGATAAGCAAGAAATTTTCATTTTTTTTTTTTTTTTTTCATTAAATTTATAAAAATATTCTAATCATAGCTTTTTCTCCTAAAATTATTGTAATAAATATGCTGTGTTCAACATTTTTTTCTTTTTTTTAAGGTATTAACTATGTCATTTCGATCAATTCCATTAACAGATAAAATATTTTGTAATCTATATGATATGGTTCGTAAACAATCTATTATTACTGAGGGGACAGTTCGTGAAATTTGGCAGCGAGCCTGGGATCCACGTGATTTCTTTTACATTCCAAATTTGATTAGTTGTCCGATACCGAAATATTTCGAATATAGCACAAATTTGACAATTTCATTGACTAAAAATGCATGTAAAAGTCAGGAGATTTCGGCACAAATACGAATGTTACCATTAAGAAATGAAAAGAATGGAATTGCAGTATGTGTAAAGGTAATACTATTTCGAATAATCATTCTCACTTATTCAAACTATTGAAAAAAATAAATAAATCAACAATTTTTCATCCATTTTATCATTTAAAACTAAATAATACTTAAATTTTACCAATTTATAGGGCTTAGACTATCTTGATGATAAGCCAGAACGTTTAGTTGAATGGATTGAAATGCAATTTATTACTGGTGCTGATATGATTACAATATATACTTATTATGTACCACATAAAATGCAGCAAGTTTTAAATTACTATAGTAAACAAGGATCTGTTACTGTGGTATTATTTTATATTTTATTGAAATATTTGTAAAGATAAAAAAATTTGCTTGAATAATGATAAGATTTTAATGAGTTAACTGTAAAATTTTCATCTAGAATATATTTGAATTGTTGAATAATTTTAGCTTAAAATTTATTTCTCAAATTTTCTATAAAAATGTGATTACTTTAAAAAGAAAAAAAAAAAGTGTCATTTAGATACCAATTAATCTTCCCGGTGAATCACCAAATCAAGCATACATCAGAAGTCATTTCATTTGGCGAAATAGACAGCAAAAGCGTCGACATGAGTTAATACCATATAATGATTGTTTCTACAGGTACATATGTTATATCAATCAAAATTAAATTTTAATATAAAGATTAAAAATTAATTAAATCATTTCTATCAATCCTTATTTTATGAATAATAATAATAATTATTATTATTATTTGTTTAGCTGAAATAATTATCATCTTTAAGGCATATTAACACTCATAAATTTATTCTAATACTTGATATCGATGAAGTTGTGATACCATTGAAATATGATAATTGGACTACTATGCTGGATCATATCATTACAGCATTTTATGATAAAAACTCAAAAAGAACTGAAATCACTTCAATTTCTATTCGAAATGTATTCAAATTTCCTTCTAATACAAGCTGGTTGAATCCATTAATTCCATCTTATATGTATATGCTACGAAATAGACGAAAATCAGAAATGGTAAATAAACCAGGAGAATATGGAAAAGCTTTCATCAAGTATTTTTAATTTTTTAAATTTGATAGTTGCATGTATATCCTGAAATTGTATTAATTTAATAATTTCATTTCTCATTGATTAGATCTATCGAATATTCGAAAAAAAAAGTTCGAATTTTCAAGTGTTAATTATTTAAAAAAAAAAATTGCAAACATACTAATTAAATTTAATTTGTTTTATTTTGTCTAAAATTATTTTGATTGTTAAATTCTAACTTACATTTAACATAGGTTGAACATAATTATTTTGTTCTTTTATTCATTCTTTTCAATTTATTAGCATATTATGGCCATTCAATAATAGTTAATCACTTGAATAACTCATAAAATTTTGAATACCTATAATTATCAAAGGTTAAAATTTAAATTTCATATCTTACTTACTTATTATTAACTAATAAATTAGAAGAAAAAATTTTACGATTTTTCTGGTTTTGTCATCCATACGATAGATTGGCTTTTTTTTCAGTACAAATACCGTTGCTACTGTATTCAATCATTTTGCTTTACATCGACAGCATGCTGATGTAGCTAAGACAATACATGTGGAATCTGATATTGCCATTAAGTTACATTATAAGTCAAAATGTCCTGTGGAATCAAGAAAACAGTGTCAACATCTAGAACATGTCACCATAGATGACACAGTAATGGATCGTTATGCTGAACAATTAATTAGACATGTTACTAAAGTGCTCACTCATTTACATATTATTGAATAAATTCATCTTTATTTACTATACTTTGATCTTTGTCATACAATTTTCTCTAAAAATTTCATTTTGTCAATTATAATTTTATTACAACTTAATTAATGAAAAGTAAATGTAATTTGAATTGTTAAACTATAATTGGTTTAGTATTTTTCTTTTGCATATTTTGATGTATATTTCATATTTGTTTATTATTGTGACATAATATATTTTAAACTTCTTTTTATTTAATAAACTGATAGTTTAATCTAAGCAATTGTAAAATATTTCTATTGTTTAATAATTAATTATTGAAATATCAAACATGCTTATTTCTGATATAAATTTTCCAGTCTAATTTGATGATTGTTTTTTCTTTCAAACTTTTGCAACAATTTCATTTCATAAATTCTAACTATTAGTAATCTTATCAAAAATTATCTCACAACATATCATGAAGAGTTTGATACAATAAATTTGTGAAATGTTTCGAATTCTTAGTTTTGTTGCAGTTATAACTAAGTTGTAAAGTTTCTAAGAATCAGAAAATGGATACTAAACAAATTCATTCATACAATAATATAAAAGTTTTAACAGTTTTTTTACTACTTGTTAAAGTCTTTGTAGTGCTAGCGTACGTAGCGGAATACGTGTACTATAGGCGTAATGATACGTCATTCTGGACGTATCATTTTAGATTTCAGATGTAATATCAGTTATTTTGGCGTTCAATTATTTTGGCGAAGCTATTGCAAAAAGAGACAACCATCTCTATGTCTGAATAGACATACTGCACTGTGATTAAGAAACCACTCGAAATTGTTTGGTTTATGGAGGTATATCGAAACGCTGCCAAAAAACTTTCGTGGAGTCCTATGCTAGTTGGGCTCCGCGAATGTTGGCAATGATTGAGGAAATGTTAACTTCGCGGTTTCCACTCGAGATGCGTCCATGTGGGTATATTTCCTTGGATGTCTGAGCCAGCTCTTTTGTGTAGGGTCACGTACGCCCATTCAAGTACGTGTAGTGGTAAAGTGGTTCGCTTCTCTTCACACGAAGGATGGGTAGAAGAGGCATAGTTGTAGTGAGAGAGATTGGTGCCAGGATGGTTTACTTGGTCAGGTTTACTTGATGGTTCTATTTTCTACTACTAGATCAGTTCATCACTGGTGAACAGTATTTTTGTACTCCAGGTGGGGACGTTTAATACTTTTAATGGAAGTGTAGGAAATATCCCACGTCTAAAGGTTTTGTCTGAAGGAAAGGAAATAATAGATGTGTGGACAGTTTTTTTCTTACACAGTTATGCTAGGTGATCATGATTTATCGGAAGATTAATGTGATTAAATCAAAGATGTATTAGATGAACTAATTTAATCGTACTCATGATATGATAAACATTGTTCCTTATCATTCAATCATCTATGTCTTCTATGCCATTGCTAAGGTTTTGTCGTTTATCACGTTTTGGAGAATTATCTTTCAATTACAGGAATCATTCTTTAAGGATGGATCGTATAATATAGTACAGTAAAACTGAATTGCAAGATGGAGCGTTGGAGAGCAGAAAGCGAATCCACCGAGGTAGTAATTGGTACATTGGAGAGTGAAACTCATTTCTGCACTTCTCCATCGTCTTTAGCTCGACATTTCAACAGCAAACAAAGCTCCACAGTTTATAATAATGATAATTTCCCATCTAATGTATTGCGTAGTCTGAATACCTTCCGAAAGTTAGTTTTATTTGCTCTTTATTCCTTTATCATAGCAAACTTTTCTTAAACTTGTATATCATTTTACATCATTTCATTAGCTAAATTCCATGCATATTTAGCTCAAGTACTTCAAAACTTGTAATTAATCTCTTCTATCTTCAATAAAAAGGGTATGACGGTTGGTGATTGTTGATATTGACCATTTTGTTTGATCCATCAGCCGCAATTTTCAGTCATCCGTCAGAGCTTTATTTTTTTTCTCAATAATTATTCTGTTGTAGAGACGAACGTTTCTGTGATGTGATTTTGATGGCATCATTGAAACCAGAAGATGGTGCAGAAAGCGATGGAAGTCGGGATGTCAAAATTGTAGCCCATCGTGCTGTACTTGCTGCAGGATGTCCATATTTTAGCGCAATGTTTAGTGGTGCAATGAAGGAATCAAAACAGGAAAACATATTTCTGAAGGTTCGTTATCTATTTGAACATTAATAGGGGAGGAGAATATTCTATTCGTGTAATTAATGTTTTGATAATGAGCACTCCGATAAAGTCATATCTGTATTGTTCGTATTGTTTAACTATCGACTTTTCCTCAATTTGCTTCAAATTAAAGGGAATCGATGGAACATCACTGCTTGCTCTCATTGACTATATGTATTCTGGTCGCCTAACAATCAATGAGCAAAACGTACAAAGCCTTCTGACAACTGGATCATTGCTTCAGGTCAACCTTTCCATTAGATTAATTTTTTATTTTGTTCCTAGATGGGATTTATTATGTGTTTAGATTGCAGTTTTAATTTTGACAGTTTAATGTGCTTTTCCTTCATAACGTCTATTTTTACATGGTATTTTTATTGATTCTGAGCAGTTGTTCACCTTTCGTGTCCTTAAGGCGCTTGCATGTTTTTCATTCTCTTCTATATTTGACATTTTCCTCATCTGCCATATACGTAAATTCTTTATGCATATATGAAACTTGTTATTTGATTTTTTCTAGAAACCTTTACTTTCACAGCTTTCGCTTGCAGATGGCATGTGTGCGTGATGCATGTTCCAGATTTCTTCTAGAGCAATTGGATCCATCCAACTGTCTTGGCATTGCAAACTTTGCTGTAGCGCATGGTTGCACACAGCTTGCACATGCTGCCACTACATTTGTTCAGCAACATTTCAAGTTTGATATGCATCTTTTCAAATATTTCACTTATTTTTTTTGTTTCATACGAGAAATCTAAATGACCTTCTTACCTCCCAGTAATTCTTGCTTAAATTTTACATGTATTTTACCTTATAGTCATGTGGTAAAATGTGATGAATTTTTGGCTCTCAGTAAACATCAGGTGGTCGAAATAATCTCATCAGATCATTTAACAACTACGGGTGAAGACAAGGTTTGCGATAAACTGCGTAAACATAGAAATACATTAGGTACTGTGTATGATTTCAATATAGAAGATTAAGTTTTAAAATAAAAAGAATAAGTTTTTAAAATAGTAATTTAGCATGAAAATAAACTGGTTTATATCAGTTTAATCCGACAAAATTATCAAGTCAATCATATGAATGATAAGGAATTTCAGGTTTATGAAGCAGTTGTACGATGGGTAATGCATGATATCTTGAACCGCAGAGATGCATTTCCAGACCTTATGGCACATGTTCGCTTGCCATTGCTACCGCGTGACTATTTAACTGATAAAGTGAATATTTACTAATTTTTAAAATTAGTCCTTGCCCTATTCTCACTGCTGCTGTCGACACTAGCCCGTTAAATTTTCAGAAAAGTGATGCGAATGTCTTGGTTTGACAAAAATCAAACTACAAAGAATATTTTCTATTCTATGCAATACGTCTATTGCATCAAAATTTTGTATTAAATTTTATGACGACTTTTTATTCATGGTATTTTCGCCGTCTGTTGTCTTAAAAGATTTTTTAAAGGTCGATCCAGACATTTTGGTTCGACAGAGTTCAGAATGCAAGGATTATCTTTTGGAAGCTTACCGTTATCATTTAAAAGATGAGCGTGGCGAAGAAAATGAACGTAGCCGTCCGCGGCAGCCAATTCCATTATCGAAGGTAATTTCAATGCTACAAATAAAGCTTGTCTTGATTAATAATACGCCTAAGAACGGACAGCAAGAATGGTTCTTTTAGCTTATAATGCTCATTGGTGGTCAAGCGCCTAAGGCTATTGCCAATGTTGATGTATTCGATTTGGATGCTTTACGATGGATGCCGTGTAAGTTCAAAGACTAGAAGAATAGATTTTGATTTAGAATTTGAGAAACTTTGATTAAAGGATACAGTGAATTTAACTTTGGTAATATTTAAATGCTGTAGTAAATGCTTTACCACAACGTCGCTGTCGCTGTGGTGTCGGGGAGCTGAAAGATTTCGTTTATGCGGTTGGTGGATTTAACGGGTCGTTACGTGTAAAATCTGTAGATGCCTATGATGTACACACTGATAGGTGGTTCGCTGCACCGCCGATGGATGCAAGGTATATGCATAATTAATAAGAGAAACATCATCCGGAACGTCACATATTCTCAGCATATGCTTTTTCGGACAACCTCCCGCATAGCCACGTGATCACGATGTTAAGAATCAATAGTTAGGTATTAAGAAAAACAAATTGATTCTTTACCCAAAACATTCAAAAATTGCTAATTATTACCAACCCAAACCGTCGGCAAAGTTTTTAGACGAGTATCTGTGAACCTTTTGCTTGTTGTTTTTTATATTCGGCATACAGCAATGCAGTGTTGCGTGCTGATTATCAGAGGATCTAATATTTTCTTTTTAAAATGATAAGAATAAGTACACCTTTGAAAATTTAGCTACTTCTAAATACGTAAAAGTTCCCAGTAAATAAATTTAGTGTATTTTATTTCCAAAATAATAAACATTCACAGGCGTAGCACATTAGGCGTGGCAGTCATCGATCAGTTGCTAATAGCTGTTGGTGGATTCGACGGTTCAACTGGACTGAGCTCTGCCGAGGCATTCGACCCTCGCAATGGTTTTTTTTTTTTTTTTTTTCTTTTTAATTTGCCATGACTTCCAACTTTCTTTGTTTGTTCGATTTCTACTTGAAACACACGAGAACTTGTTTAAATTTAGGCCAGTGGATGCCTCTTCCGTCGATGACCGTACGTCGTTCATCGGTTGGAGTCACAGCGCTTAATGGTATGGTGTATGCTGTGGGTGGCTATGATGGAAATACTAGAAACTGCTTAGACACAGTTGAAATTTATGAACCACGGGTAAACCGATGGCGATCTGGACCAACTTTAATATCTAAACGTTCTGGTGCTGGTGTTACGGTTGTTGGAGATCGTCTTGTCGCTGTTGGAGGACATGATGGTCCAGTGGTTAGAGAAACAGCCGAGGTTTACTTTCCCTTCAATAGAATAATCAAACATTCAGAACTTAAAAAATTTAGCTTCACACTACTATGTTCTCTAAGTTTTTAATACAGATTTTAAATAGCCAATACTAATCTCCAGATCTTAAATGGTGACTCCTGGACACTTTTACCGGAAATGAATGTATGTCGTCGCAATGCAAGTGCTGTAGCACTGGATTCAAATTTATTCGCAATCGGAGGTTAGCTAACTCTTATTTTCACTGCTGACTATACATGATGCTTAGCGTAGAAACTTTTTCTGTACTGATGACGGGTTGACATTCGGCAGTAAAAAAGGAATAAGAAGAAGTGTTTCAGAAGCTTAAATTTGTGTTATCGACTTAAGTTTTTCTTACTATTAAAGAATTTAGGTGACGATGGAACATCAAATTTGAGTTCAATTGAAGTTTTAAATATTTCGTCGCTGGAACAACAACCCTGGACTCATCTTAGTGTATCAATCAACCAACCGAGATCGTACGCTGGAGTAGCGCTTCTACCGAAAGTCGCATGACCAGTCTGGCAATGCTAATCATGCGCAAATAAGCGTAATCGAATGAACTTGGAAGCAAAGATCGATGTAGGTCACTCAAACGTGTCAGTGATCTTAGGTTTATAATATCTATAAAAAATCTGTAAAAATATGCCCAAAATTGGTACCTTTACCGTTAATTCGTCTAAGGCTTTGGAATTTTAAACAGAAACTACGCAATGAAATATCATAACAGAAACATGAGAATGCCCACAGTTTTTTGTTTTCATTAACGGTATTTATTAAAACCCAAATTTGCTGAAAAATAATTTTGCTTGAAAATACTGCACTTCATATTTCAATGTACTGTTAGTGTATTATTAGGAACTGTTAATTTGTCTTTACTTTCTCTGTATTTATGCAAAGAATAAATAAATATTCAGCGAAGAAACAGATACTAAAAACTCAGTTCTACAAGAAACGATATGTACGATCAATGTGATGATGAAACATATTAAGTTTACATAAACCGACGAATGAAAGCAGCTCAAGATATAGTCAGAAAACTGATTGTAGGCATGAGTAATTTTGACACATGCAATCAACAAAAAAGCAACATACTGTAACTATGCTGTCCATAAGCTTGTGCAAATTAGATGACTGCAGAATGCCTTTTAAAAGTGGCACTTAAATCTGCGACACCTGTTTGCATCTTTTCTAATGAAAGTAGGCTTCGAACATTTGCGCTTAGGTAAATTCAACCACAAAATACGACTAGGAACACAGTATCCACAGAAATAATCATATGAACAATTAAGGTACGCACAGGACAAAGGAAAAAAGAAGCGAAAAAATAGATAGAAAATATCTTTAAACTAAAATATTCCAGCACTCTTGGATAGTTCGGAAATGATATTTATAGAACTAGGAGCCAAACAACAAAAAATATACCAAGATATATAAAAAGATTTGATAGAAACTGCTCCTCTTCCGCTTGTCTTGTGCCTGGTGCCGCTGAAAAACAAAATATATATGTTAAGACATAAGAAGCTTTTTTAAAACTATATATCTTGTCATACTATGTATATACCAAGATATACTCAATATAATTAACGACTCACCACCTTAAATCACTAAAGACTGGATACATAGAAGTACTCTGAGAGCTGTACATCATCATTCAATCCTATATTTCATATCATAAGAAAAAATTCAAAGAAGGAAACCGAACAATTATACTAATAAATGATAGAACTAACGCGCATCTGGACGTCGTTCTCCAAAACCAATATTGAAAAATGATGCGAAAAATGAGATAGGGAACACTCCGATACCCATTGAGAACTGCACACCACCACCATTCTCACCGCCCCACTGGAAGCCTGGGAATCCTTGAAAAGAGCTCTGAAAGTAAAAAGAGTACTGCATCAAATTGCATATGTCTCTCTGCCAAGTCTCTCTGTCATATTGCTCTGCAATTAATACAACCCACTAAGCTCGAATCATCATAAATTACTCTAAGAATAATCTCAAATCTCTTGCATGTGTTCTTTTCATATGAATATGACAATAATGAGAACTTGCCTGGGGCATTTCGGTACGTTGACCTCTTGGACGTGGTGGAACTTTATCTCGTGGGTCTGTATCATTACCACCTCTTCCATACAGCGGTATCACCTATTTCAAATACATGAATGTTTCACGGAATTATTCCTTGTCTCAATTACCTTTTAATTTGTAACTTATCCTTTAATTTATAACTTGCATTATCACACACACACAAAAAGAAAAAAAATAACCTTATCTTTGCTAATGGCAGATTTACAAACGGGACAAAGCTGCCTATTAGGGCATGTATCAAGCCACTGATGAAGACATGGCCAACAGAACAAATGACCACACATCGACACTACAGCATCTCGTGCTACATCCAAACATATGTTACAATCGAATCTATAAGTTACCCTTTAGTGTTTAAACCCCTCCAAAAAATATGATAGCTGACATCTATAGATAATTCTACACATCTTTACATTCATTGCGATAGAGAATGAAACTAAGTCAAGTAAAAAGTAAGAGTAAGAATTTAGGCGAATGTCATATTACTGTGTGATCGTAGTAATCCCTTTTATGAAATACATTATAATGAGACAGACTGAAAAAAAAAAAAAAAAAAAAAAAAAAATATATATATATACCTTGCTGTGTCATCGTCCTTCTTGCCATCTTCCTTCGAAGAAGAATGACTTTCAGCATTTTCTGTCTGAGTAACACCTACCATTGTTCAGTGTTAGAAGATAATTATCTAGAAGTAAAGATAGTGATGATATTACCACTGATAAGGTTATACTAACCGAAAAAAGAAAAACCTGAAGAATATCAAAGATTAATTTCATCTTTTGCTTACATTTTATTTGAGATTAAAGATTACACAAAGCAAAATATATATATATATATAAATGTGACAACTCTATTTATAATTCATTCTTTGACTTTAATATAAATACAAATCCAAACAAAAAAGAAGCATTAGCTTAGGAAAATCACACATAGTACGAAACATCAGAAATCACAACTTACGTAAGCTACGTCAAGCTATGACGCACACTCTTCTCGCTCTTTTCTATTACTTGATGTCACAATGCAAACAGAATAATCTTTGCGTTACAAACCGTTTCTTTTGAAAATTTCCGGGTTCCTTCTGTTCTTCTGCATGTTAATACCTGATCGTATATTGATACCTGATGGTATTAGATGTTTATTTGATAGAATAAAAGATTTTAAGGACTTATAAGTGTCCAGGTAAGTAATTAACATTATTTTTGGAACATAAAATGATTTTTGTTTTAATTAGAGCTAATTAAAAAAAATTACTTAACTTTATCTCTCTAACACATTAGCTGTTTAGTTTTAATATCATATTTTTACAATAATGAATATTAAATATTGAAAACATTTAATTGTGAATTAGTGAATTATTTGTACTTATTTTTTACAGTTTAGCTATACGTCTTGTTCGATTTTATAGCAACGTGGTAGTTAAATGTGAGGATGCAGCAACACAATACGCAACAATTTCAAGGTGCTATTCGATTGCAGAATGAAATTTCAGTAAGCTTTTTTCCTTATAGCTTTCATTTTAATTCTTTTGTTTCATCCTACCAAAGTGTATTTTAATACCCATATTGATCTGTAATTATGCTTATTATTTTCTAGTACTGCTAAAGTTAATCTATTTTGAATGATAACTCTAGTGTGTAATGTATGTACTAAGTGAGAAAGATAGTTGATGACAACAACTTTTTGTCACTTTCAAACTGAATTAATAAATTATAGTTTTACTCAGCTAGCAGCATACTACCTAGGCATATCTTGCATATGATGAATTTTATTTAGTGATTTTTTTCTCTGAAAAATAGGTCAATTATAAGTTATAAGTGAAAAATATGTTGTTAACTGTTTAATTGATTCGCTTTTACAAACACCGTTTCCTTCTAAATTCATTGGAATAGTTTTGTTAAACCTCTATTATCCTAGATATATACTAAGATATTATGATTTTATAACAATGGACTGTTAATAAGAGTGGTAGATTCAGTTGGAGAATATCATCAGCACCACTAGATTTTTACCATTTTGACTTCTTCCTCTATTTGACCTTTTTTTTGATTTAATCTCTTTGTTTTACAGTATGTTCAACTATTTAGAAAGATGGAACTTTATCGATAAGAGTTTTAATAGAGACTTTTCAAATTACTTTAATCTTTAATTTAATTTGAGGAAATGGATGAAGAAGAACAGTGGAGAATCGAGCATGCGAAATTGCACGAAAAACATCGAGGACATGAACAAATGCATATGGAAATCTTTTTGATACTGATAGTAACATTGGTTGTAGCCCAAATTGCATTGGTACAATGGAAAAAAAGGCACTTCAAATCGTATCAGGCCTGTTTTCAAAAGTTGTATCTGATAGTTTATTGCCTTCAGTTCTGCTAATTTGCAATACCTTGTTCTGTAATGCTATAACTATCTTTAGATAGTTAATTCTGTTATTTTGTTCTAAGCTGGATTTCAGTGATCACTACAGTGAGCACTGCGCTAAATGCTAAACATAATCCTAGTGGGTTTCTTGATGGAATTTAATAATACAAGTCATTATTTCATTTCGTTTGATATACTACTTGTTTAAAATATCATTAGTTTGAGAAAATTATTTTGAATGTTAGCAATTTGAGAAATTCAAAGACATATTATTGCGTAATAATAGTGATGAGATTTATTGCTTATATTATTCCTTAAACATACAATTTTATATGTCTTTTTATTAATCGTATTCGTGATTTTGCAAACTTTTTTTGATATGTGATATATAATTTCTTTAGCTATGCACACTACTGGGCATGTGGTTAATTCCTGTATTCATATGTGTTCAGCGATACTGGTGGAGATTTTTGGTAACATGGATTGTATATTCCGTACTGTCAACTGTGATTTGGTACAGGGCTACTCGTCCACAAATATCAGGCAAAACACCAAGGTTAGTTGTATCTTTTAATTCGAACTTATCCTACGTGATTTCCATTTTTTTTAATGGATATTCCTTTGCCATATATTGAACAGATTGTTTCATGTTCAGAAAAATTTTTCTATTTTTGTGAAACGTATATCGTGTGCTCAGTTGTGAAACGAGACTTTTTAAAATTTGATTCTTTCACTAATTCTTTAATTAACAATAGTTCGATGGCATAAACTACTTGGTTTTTATTTTTTTAGTGGTATGTTCCTTTTTTTTCTTTCAGGCTGGTTTATAAATGGTTCCTATTTTTGCATAAATTGAGTTATGTTCTTGGAATAGCAGGATATATTTTTATCATGTTCACATTATTGGGCTTGAATCATATATTCGCTATAAAAGCACAAATTCTAATGGACTCTGGTTTGCTGCTTTTGTTTTATGGCTTATATTATGGAGTACTCGGTCGTGATTTTGCGCATATATGTACGGATCGTATTGCATCCAAAATTGGGGTTTGTTTCTTTCCTTTTTATCCTATTGTTTACACAGGGATTTTGAAATTTTCTTTTTTATAGTATTATACAGAAGAAGGTTTACCGAAGAAAATCCTTGAAGCAGATGTTTGCGCTGTATGCGGGAATCATCTTGAAATAGACGATACGGAAACTGACTATGAATCGACATATCGCTTGTCATGTGGACATTTGTTTCATGAATTTTGCATCCGCGGTTGGTGTGTTATTGGTAAACAACAGACATGCCCCTATTGCAAGGAAAAAGTCGATCTTAAAAGGATGTTTAAGCATCCGTAAGTTTTGTCATTATTTCTTAACCAATTATTTTTCAAACAAAAACTCAGTGCTTTTATTTTTTGTCTTTTATGTTAAACTTCGAGATTTGATATTTTAGGTAAATCACAATTTTTTTTTTATAGATGGCAGAAGCCTCATCTGTTCTATGGGCAACTGTTAGATTGGATTCGATATTTGGTTGCATGGCAACCATTAATTGTCACTTTTGTAAAGGGAATTAATACTTATTTTGGTCTAGAATGATATGTTCAGTGGTTTCGGGAATTGTTTTGCTTGCTACAAATGGCATTTTTCAATTAGGAAAAATTTGTTCATGTTTTATTTAATAACTCCAATGAAGATATCTCTCTGTGCGCTATTCTATATTTAAGTGATGGCTTGTTGAAAATATTTGCTGTGTTTTCTTTTCTTATTTGTTTATCATTGACTGGTATTTATGAAAGTGATTGGAAAAAGCAAACAGGGGTTCAAATTATTTCGTATATTTTAGCTTTGTATTTTAATCATATTTATTAGTTATGAACTCATTTCGTTCTTCTTTATCTTTTTTTTTTTTTTTTTTTGGGGGGGGGGGGGGGGGTGGTGAGGGAACAGGAGGAATTTGATTTAAATCTATTTGATTTGTTAAAATAGTGGCCAGTTTGTAAATATTGTTTAAAACTTCTATGTTAGTATTTCTGGTTTTTACTCCTTCATCATAATTTATGTGCTGATATTCTCTCTTTGCTTGCTCTGACTACTTCTCAAAGAACTTTTTATGTTCTCAAACGTAAGAAACTTCTATTTCAATTATGCTAGGGCTTTATATTTGTGCATTACTATTTGTAAGTGATATATGCTCTGTGCTATCTTTTTTTATCAATGGGTTTCGCTTTAATGAACATTACTCACAATCTGTTTTCTGTTAATTTTATTTATATTCTCATATTCCAATAAATGATTTCATGGTTTAATGTCTCTCCTAACTGAGGATTTACATTCGAAATTCGATTGAAAATTTTTATATTTATAAAAAATAGAATTTTACAGTAGTTGTTTGGTGTGTTATTGCAAATGATGGAAGACTATACTTACTAGTTACTACTGTAGTTATACTTACTAGTTAACAGTTTCAGGTCTAAAAACGAATTCAGTTGGAATTGTTTTCTTCAGAGCAATCAGAAAAAGGTTGAAATCCATATATATATATATATTGACAAGCAAGTGTTTGTGGTGTTCTAAGCCAGTATTGATTATTGCAGTTTCGAATGTCGACAACAACATTGAAGAAGTAATCTTTCTTACTGTTGAAGTCTTCCTATTTCACTTGTTGATTTCGAAAATTAAAACTGTCCTCTTTAGGTATGGTTTAATTTTAAAGAAACCATCTGAACTTTCAACTGTTAAACCAATTGCTGCTGCATTTGCGAGTGATGAAGATGATGGGAATGAGGTACTTTCAGTTTCAGGAATATTATTTAATGCCGACAATTGCCATTAGAAGTAGAATCTGAGCTTCAGTTATCAATTTTGATTTACATCACTGTTGTATTCACTTGTAGGCTGCATCATCGAGTGAATTTACTGCAACAACAGTGCGCGCAAAAATGCAAGCAAAGCGTGAGCATGAAAAAGCGCTTGCTGAAGATCCAACAATTTTTGACTATGATAATGTATACGAAGAATTACAAGCAAATAAAAATCAAAAAATTGCAGAAATTAAAGCTGCAGATAAGGAACGAAAGGTATAGTTGAAAATACAGCTCTTAAAGTTATTGAACTATACTGAATTAGAAGACAAAATTTAGTGGATAATACTTTTTTTAAAATAGTTTTGCTTAAGATTACCTTGCATAGTAATAATGAAGATCATAAATGTCTATTCATTTAGCAGATTTGCTCAGTGCAAACTGTTCTTAATATTTTATGGATGTACTGCATTGATCTCATATTCATTTTGAAGTGTTATTCGGAAATTTTTTTATTCCTTACTTCCTTATGCTGTGTTTGAAATTTCGTCATAGTTTAACTAGTAATAATAATAGCACTAATTTGCATTAGAAAGAAATATATCATTTAGTCCCCTTACTTTAAACCATTTACTTATGCTGAAGTACTACTGCAATCCTAGCGCTTTACCGGAGAGCCGGATTCAATAGCAATAAATACTTTAATTTTTTTATTTTTTACAGTATTAAGTATTTCTCTGTTTAGTCAAAGTATGCAGAACAAATTCTGGAAGCACACAAAAAGCGTTTACTTGCGCAACAAAGTCGAGAGGAGCGTAAGCAACAGAAAGAGCGTGAAGCAGAAGCTGGACAATTTGATGATAAAGAGGTTACTACATTTCAGTTATAATCTTGTTTTAATTTATTGATTCTTCACTTCAAGAAAAATTGTTATTTTCCAGAAATTTGTTACGAGCGCATACAAAAAACAGCTAGCAGAAATGGAAAATTTCCGTTTGCAAGAAGCAGTTGACAATCGGCTTGACGGTTGGTTCATTGTCTTTTTTTGCAAATTAATTTTTTTTTTTATTAAGGCTAACATCATCACTGAGTTTTTAGCATATTTTGTCAATGCTGGAGTAGTCACAGTAATACAGTTAGGCGAAATTATTGATTAATTGTTCAATTTTCTCATTATCATTAGACGTTTATCATTTGAAAATTTTCGATCAAACCAAATTTGATTTTTTAGAATTGACAGCAGTGGAAAGGCAAAAAAGTGGCGTGTGGAAAGGTGGCTTTTATAGGACGCTGTTGAATGATATTGTTGGAGATAATGGTGCAATTAAAACAGAAGAAGGAGATATAAAGCAAGAGGTTTATGATTAAATTTGATTAATTGAGTAATGTAAACTTTTTTGACTAAGAAGCAAGGATTAATTTTTACATATCAAATGTGTTCTTATTTTAGTTTATTAGCCCTACAACAGATGTACAACAAACAAGTGTGGATTCTGTTGAACATGCTAAAAAACTTTCTTTATTACGGAAAGACAGCGATAATGATGGTAGATTTCTGGAATTGTCTACTGGTAATCAAACAGAGAAATCAGTATATTCTGATGATTCAGACAAAGAACAGGAGCTCAATAATACGATTTCAGTAAACCTGAAGCCTGGTTTAAATATTTTGGTTTGTATTAAGTTTTTTAAATTTTCTTCATATCAGAAACAAAGAGTGCATTTTTTTTTTCAAAGATTTGAAAAGGAAGCCATTATAATTTAATAAAAATAATAACAATTTTCTATTCAAATTTCAAATAATTCTGAAAATTTTGAACATTTATTTGCCTTTATGCTTTTGAGTGAAACTTAATTGCTTCCAAAGTTCAAATTATTTCCCAATAAATTATTAGTTTAGATCCTATAATGATTTTTTTATTTGATTTAAATTTGATCCGTTTTCAGAAACCACAAGTGAAAAAGCCAACAAAGGCGGAACAAATTCGACAGCGTTTTACTCCATCTCCGGAACATCTGACGGCAAGTAGCAGTAGTGATGAGGAGCTATCAAAAGGACATAAAAAACGAATGGAGAGACATGGACGTAGTAGGGAACATAGTTATAGAAGACGGCGACAGGAAAAAAGGTAAAATATTATAGATTTTGTTTTTTGTTTTGTGAAATTTCAATGTTCAATTTATTGTATTATGTTTAATTTCAGCTCTGAATCTCATAAAGAGAAACGAAGTTCTACAAAACAGCACGAAAATTTTTGTGATTATCACTGTACGGAAAAAAAGGAGCATAAGAAATTTGAAAAGAAACAAAAAGGAGAGGAAAATGATGAACCGAAGAAAAGAATTGTAAAGGAGAAAACTAAGGAAGAAAGGTTAAATAAGCGATTTTTGACGGATTTTAAATGAGATGAAATACAAATTCTACATTATTATTATTATTATTATTATTATTATTATTATTATTATTATTATTATTATTATTATTATTAATATTATTATCACTATTATTATCGTTATTGTTATCATTATCATTATTAATATTATTATTATTACTATTATTAATTTAAGTTCTACATTACTTAACTAGTTAACAAATTACTCATTTTTCTGTAAGATTTTAGAATATTTTATGTTGTGTTTTCAAACATTTCTTTAAAATAAGCGTTATTATTTTCCAGGCTACAAATAATCAAAAAGATATTAGCTCATCGGAATGATTCGGAGAAAGTTGAAGAAATTCGACAAAGATATTTTGAGCGAAAGAAGGAACAAGTTGTTCCGTTACCGTTATGATTTTTAACATTTGATTTTTCTCTTTAAGATCATTGTTGCGATATTATTATTTAACTGATAAACATATTCGCAATCTTTTAGAATTACTTTTATTCAATCAAATATGAAAAAAAAAGTCATGCAAATAAAATAAAACTTCCCAGAATATATTGTATGTTTTCCATGCTTTAAATATTCTTGTACTTTTCATCTTCTATTTATTCATTTCCAAAGTGATAAAGATTTGTTTGTTTCAATTTAAATAAATAAAAATCGTCATTAAAATAACGAAATATTCACATCTTCATCCAAAGATTTCATCAGTTCATCTTCTATTTCGGAGATAAAGGAAAAATCACAAATATGATCAATAGAGATGACATCTTTTTCAATACAATCTCAAAAAAAAAAAAAGTGGAATAATACAAGCTTAAGCTAATCTGTTTACTTTTCTCATAGATGTTTGTGGTGTATATGGATAAGCTTATAAATTTTAAAACCCTCCGTATAAATCTCTCTCTCTCTCTTTAATCCTAACTCACTACTATCTTAATAATTTAGGTATTTCTATCTATATAATCTACTCGAACATTTTATCTTTTGCGAATTTTTCAGGACAATAAAACTTTTATAACCTCAAAACTTGTATTGTTTTCAACTTTTTTTTTTTCTTTTGATGAGTTGTGGTATCATCTTGAACTTTGGATTAACAGTAACAAATTACATTCAGTTTACAGTGACTCTGCTAATATTTATTTATCAATATTGAAACAGTTTAAAATGTTGAACTTAATTCCGAAATTTCATTAGGAAAGCAAATTAGTCTTAAAAAATTTGCTTATCAAATATTAAACACTGCAAATTTTGCTTTATGAAGATGTGAAACTTGCAGCATTTTAAAATACTAAATTCAATTTTGTGGAAAAAAAAGAACAAGAATTCATTTCCTTTCACTATCACAACAATTTCTTTCTATCATTTACATATTTGATTAATTATATCTTTTAACTTATTAATGGCTCATAACATTTGTGAGAATTTTTTATAAACTACATTTAGCTGATTTCTTTTTTCTTTACCAAATTTTTCAGAAAGATTTTTTTTTTTTTTTGTAATAAAAAGGAAATTACTATTAGTTATTATTTCTGTGAGCAAATGTGTATTTCACTGTACTATCATTTGCTATTTTCAATTTAATTAATTTTTAGGCGAAAATATTTGTAAAAGATCAAAGAGAATTTTATGAAATGCTAAGAATAGAACAGACTATCAATCATTTGCTCAAAAATAATAAAAATTTTTAATGTGATCTGTTATCATAATACGTTGTAATAAATTCTCCAACGTACCAAAAAAAAAAAAAAAATTCTTTTTTTTTGTTGTCACAGAAATGATTGACTATAACTTTCAGTTAAAAGCAAATAAATGAATTTGTTTTATTAAATTAAATTTTTGTACGATTAAATTATAATCAAACAAATTGGCGACTGGAAATCAATAAATTTATAAAATGTAGTGCTAAAAAAATAAATGAAATTCTTTTTGTGAAAATACAATAGATAATTTAGTTCAAAGGGCACAAACAATTCAAGAACTGCAATACTTTAAGAATAAGAATTGAAAATTTGAAATTAGAATTATTAAATTTTTTTGTTCGTTCATTTCAAAGTGTAATTAATTATGCAACTTTTAGTAATAAAAGTAATAACAAAAATTTTGCATTCATTTTTGAAATGTACTTGAGTAAATTAACTTTAATTACAATTAATTAAGTATGATGACAGTTAGGCAAATTTACCTGTACAAAAGGTATGTTATAAGATATGAATATATGAGACGAAATTATCATTCTGATTCATTCTTTTATCTGAAACAAATTAGCGAATATATGTAAATGATAAAAATCATTTTATTATTTTCAAAACAAATTTTCAACAGTTACAAATTTAATAAATTGCTCAAAATTTAAGCAATGCCAAACAATCTACATCATTTACATATGAATTTCAGTTCAGATTCTCTTCTTTATTATTTCCGTTCATTAGTTTAGGATAATAATTTTCAACCAGGTGAATCTCTGGCTAAATTACCTGTTTTAAGATTAATTCTTGTTTCTTATGATCAAAAAATTAACAGAAATTGAAGGTCAACAAACAGTTGCGAAGATGAAATGACAAAGAAAGCGAAGAACAGATCTAAAGCATTGCAAATTCAAGGGCAAATAATTTTCAATTTTGCTATAAAAATGCTTTAAATAATTCAAATTTAATAATGTTTTAGAAGAATTGAATGGAATTGATGAATGTTTTTTGAATGAAAATTTCAAAATTTTATTTACTTTTTGAAATGTTAGAATTTTCAATTTCAATTACTTTAAAATTGATTACTTTCAATTACTTTAAAATTGAGAATTTCAATTACTTTAAATTGATAATTAAATGTAAGATTTAATTATTTAGTAAAAAGTTACTTCTGAATTTAACGCATTTACAGTTTACTTTCTGATAAACGATGCAATATTCGTATTTCAATGTTTTACATTCTTTAAATTCAAAAAATTATCACATATAAGTTAATTTTCTATAAAACTTTTCAAGCAAATTTCATAGTAAATTTAATAGTAACAATTTGTAATTAACAATTATATCATAAAAAATTTGATTATAAAATTTAAACAAAAGAACTAAATATTTTCTTTGCTGTTAATTCTTTCAGTTTATCATTACATTAATGGGTGCCAATACATTCATTGCTATAGCTATAGCAATTAGCGCATGCGCAATTGTCGCAACATTATTTGTTGTTGTATCTTTATTCAATGATATCAATGCATTATATGACAATGCTATGAATGAACTTCATGATTTTAAGGTCTCAATTCTCGTTTTTTTTTTGATATAAAGTAGTAAAAAGATAATAAGAAAAGAAAGTAATTTGGAATATTAATTAATGTTGAAAATGGCATTGATAAGGACTTAAAAGAATTTCAAAAATTATCATTTTCGACTGATTAAGTTTAAATCATTATTTAAGCAAAGTTTTAATTCGTCATTTTTTGAAATAATAAATCTATCTGAAGTGCAAAACACTTGAATGATTGTATAAGATATTAAAATTTTAGTAGTTCAATTTATTTTGACCAAATTTTCATTTCATAATAATTATTTATCTTCTCTCAAGTTTTTTTTTTCTTTTGAGCATTGCAATAAAAAATTTTTTTTATTGATATTTTACATAGAATGTGAAATCATAAAAAATAAGAAATAGAATATAAAAATGTTAAATTACGATAATTATGTTTATTTTTTCAACTTTTTCAACTTGGTTCTTTCAAACTGATTTCCATTTTATGAATATTAAATCTATAAAAGCTAAATTCCGATAAATCATGCTTTATTTTTTTTCATTTTAAATTAAAATCAATTTTAAATTGAAAAATTTTTTAATTTAATGAAAATAAACTTACTGGAAAGAATGCGAATAATTTTTAATCCATTATACGACGCTGAGAGAATCTTTTGTACTTTGTAGTAGGTAATATTAATTAATAAACAATGAATAATACTTTTTATGGTCTGTAATGTGATCTCTTGTAAAATTCAAGTTTAACTTTTTCAGATAATAGCAAATGATACGTGGAATACCATCCGTTTGTTGCACATATACCCATCACGTAACGCACAAATTGCGCCAACCTATGCTAATTTATTTATCCGTCATAAACGAGAACCTGATCCGGAAAGTTGTAGTAAGTTTCGAACGTTGTTACATTCAAAGAAAGATGCAGATGAAGATAGAGAAATGAAATATCACTGATGCTAGCTGTCAAAATTAATCTTAACTCTGTTTTTGCTCGTGAATTTTTCAAAAAATTTCAGAATGCTGCTCTTCTGCCAATCATTGTCCACGAGGTCCAGCTGGACCACAAGGTAACCAAGGTTGGAAAGGTGTAGATGGGCTACCAGGAGAAGATGGTTATCATGGTGTACCAAGTGTCATTATCACAGTCATCCAGGAAAAATCTGCTGATTGCATTTATTGTCCACCTGGCCCACCAGGATTACTTGGACGTCCTGGTCCTCCTGGTAATCGCGGACCAGTGGGACGTATTGGTAGTGCTGGATTGTCCGGAAAAAGAGGTGCAACAGGTAGGCAAGGAGATGTAGGAGAGGCTGGACCAGCAGGTATTTCTGGCAAACCAGGTGAGCGTGGTTTATCAGGACGGAATGGAACATATGAAAAATGTGCAATAGGCCAAAAAGGTCCAAATGGACAACGTGGTTTTCCTGGTCCATCAGGTAAGAATGGTAGTGATGGCATTCGTGGTCCTCCTGGTAAGCCTGGTTTGCTGGGACAATTTGGTACTCCTGGACAGAGCGGCAAAGATGGACATTTAGGACTGGTAAGGATTTTTTATCTAACTTATTAAAATGATATTATAAATTTCACTTACGCTAATTTATCTGAAACGCTCGTTCGGTAAAAGCTATTTCATTTGTTATAATTTTGAATAAAATATCTTACTGAAAAAAAAAATTTCCATCATTTATTGCAAATTATTTATTACCCATACAAATTAGAATTTTTAGATTGGATTACCCGGATTGCCTGGGTCAGATGCCCACTACTGCCCATGTCCACTGCCAACATCAATGCTTCTTCAAAAAGCATAAAATTCGTGATCAATTTGCTATTGTAATCAGTCATTTCACTTCATTAAACAATGTCACATTTATTTAGTCACACAGTACAAGAAGAGAACATATTTGAAATGAAAATGATATGATGAATAATTCTGCTTTTAATTATAATTAATGAAATAATATCATAAGGAAAGTAAAATTCTCTCTCTCTCTCTCTCTCAGTAATTATTTGTTTTATTAATATTCAAAAGAAAATAAATAGTATAAAAATATACATATTATATTTAATTTTTAAAATTTATTTATTTGCTCTTTATTATAGTATTTTTCTTGATCATTAAAATTTAGCAATGAATAATTTAATGCATTTTCCTTTTTTTCTTTTTTTGCAAACTATTTTCATTTATGAGTAATTGTGAAATATTTAATCATAAAAGAAAATGAGAAAGTAAAAAGTAAATAATATTGCATCAAATATAAATATTCATAATGTAATAGCGTTTCGGAGAGTATTTGCATTTCAATTTTATTTTAAAAAGTTATTGGAATGCTTTTCTTTCTTTTTTTTTTTGTAAAGAAATTGAGCTATCCCTTAATTTCCCGAAATATTTATGAATTTAGAGAGAAATAAAGGATAGAAAAAGTTAGAAACATAATAAATAAATTGTATTATGTGATATGAGAAAAATATTATTTGTAAAATTATTTAAATTTTAAAATAAGCATCAGTATTGACATAACATAGGTATTGTATTATTAGATAAAAGAATATATAAATGTTAGAGTTTACTTTAATTTCTCTTAAGCTAGCATTTTTAATCATTGTAAGAAGAAACTTTTTTTTTTTTCGTTTTAAATTTCATTTAAAAAAAAAAACAAAATTAAAAATGAATTTGTAAAGTAATTGCAAAAAAAATGATAACTACAAACTAATATGAGAGATATTAATTAATTGTAGCTTAATCAAGTAGAATTGTTTTTGTTAACATTCCGGTGACAGCGTATGGATCACAGTTTGATGATGGACGTCTATCTTCCAGGAAACCCTACAAATAAAAATTAAAAAAGAGAAAAATCAAATCATAATAACATTTTTGAAGTATTTACTGTTTTTATTTGAATAAACGGAAGGATCAAAATGATTCTCAAATGATGCAACGATGCTATATTACTATAATCAAAAGAAATTAATTTAAATAATTAATTGATTTAATTGTTTTCGTTTTTGTTTTTTTTGTTTTTTCATATTAGAAAGATAAAATTACAGGTAAGTAAGAAATAATTATGCAATAAAAAATTATTGTATAAAAATTATATCGTTGAAAATATTTTGTTTGTTTCTTTTAAATGTAAAATTTCATAAATATATTTAAATATTTAAAAAAGAAAAAAATTAAACCTTTTTATCTTTTGCTACAGCTCTCGGTATACGAACTGAAGCTGCTCGATTAGCAATACCCCATGAAAACTGATCAATGTTCGATGTTTCATGTTTACCTGTCAAACGACGTACATTATCCATGCCACCATGTGGATCATATACTGCTATATGCTCCTATAAAAAATTAAAATATTGTTTTTTTTTTTTCTATATAATAATTTTAATAAATAATAATAACAAATATTCTTAATAATAATAAATAATAATAATAATAGCAAATAATTTTTATAAAAGTTATTAGCTTTGTAATCATTTTCTTTCTTTTTTTTTTTTTTTGTTTTCAAACAAAATATTAGAAAAATTTTAATTCTTTTTTTTTTAAAAAACAAAATATTAGAAAAAGTTTAATTCTTTTTTTTTTTTAAAACAAAATATTAGAAAAATTTTATTTTACTTTATGCTTCTTTTCAAGTTTTTTAATTGCTTCTTCAACATATTTAATGCCACCATCTGAGCGCATTTTTTCAGTTGAAAAATTACAATGACAACCAGCGCCATTCCAATCACCATCTAAACAGTATTATATTTGAAATTAGTAAATAACAATAAAGTTAATTCAATGATAAAAGATTAGATAAGATTTTAAAAGAAAAAGAAATTATAATTCAAACGTGTTATTGCTGGTTTCGGATCAAATGTAACCAAAACGCCATATATTTCAGCAATTCGATAAAGTAAATAACGTGCTAGCCATAGTTGATCACCCATAGAAATACCTTCACAGGTACCTAATTGAAATTCCCATTGGCCAGGTGTTACTTCTATAAATTATTAAATAAACTCACTAAAAAAAAAAAAAACAGACTAAGTATAAATTCAAAATTTACAAAATTTTTCACTTATAAAAGATAAAATTTAATAGTACAGTAAAAAAAAAAAAAAAGAATATCTTTAGTCTTAGTTTATTAGGTTTACATTAAAAATTACAATTTAAATGTATTTATTTGTACTAAAATTTAATTGTCAATTTTTTTTTTCATTTTTCTTTTTTTAAGAACAAAAAAAAAAAGATAAGAACAAAAAAAAAAATTTGCTCATTCTCAATATTTTTCTCCTATATTTTCTCGACATATTTCATACAAAAAAAAAAAAGAAAAAATAAAGTAGATTAAATAACTTTTAAATTGTTAAAGAATTTTTATACTGCAAATTATACATTTTTTTTATAAATTAAAAAAATAACAAAATTGAGTTAATAAAATGCTTCTTTATTTATTTTTTTTAAATTCATATTATTAAAATTATAATAAAAAAAATCTTATATTTTTCTAAATGTTAAAATGAACAAAAAATTTTTTCTTCTTCCTATTTTTTTCTCACCTGCATTTATGCCAAAAAGTTGTAAGCCAGTATGTAAACAAGCCCGATAGTGCGCATCAACCAATTCTCGTCCATATACTTTATCTGCTCCAACACCGCAATAATACTTACCTTGCGGTTCCGGAAAACCATGTTTTGGCCATCCTAACGGATGACCATCTCTGTAACATTCATTTAATTCAACTTTATTGTTCCGGAAAGCCATATTTTGGCAACCGTAATGGATGATCATCCAATTTTCCTATTAATTTTAAATAAATGTGAAAGAAAACAAAAAAGAAAAGAACGAGATAAAAAAGAAGAAAATTATATAAAATAACCCGGTAATTTATATAAATATATATTTACCTATCCAAAAGTAAGTATTCCTGTTCCATACCAAACCATATTTTCTCACTTTTACATTTCTCCATAATTTCATTGCAAAAATTACGATGATTAGTAGCTATAATAAAAAAAAAAAAATAATAATCCAAAAATATAAATTAATTGATGAATAAAATTTTAAGCAAAAATCAATTAATTTCGCATGAATTAAAAGTTTTCTAGCTTTTTACTTAAATTTATCGTTTTTCTATTATTCATTTTATGAAATCAATGCTTCGTAATAATTTCTTTCTTTCTTTTTTTTTTCTTTTTTTCAACAGTATAAAAATCTTTAAATGAAAATAGCCAAACGATGCATAAATTTTGCATGCCATTAAATTTATGAAATATATTGTAGTAAAATGAAAAATTTTTTTTTCTTTATCTATAAAGAGAGGAAATAATTGCTTATAAGAATTTAAATAAATTATTCGAAAATTAAATTATTTATTATTAAAATTAAAATTTTAAATTAAAATTGATTACATTTGTGCTAATTATAACAAAACAAACCGGTTGGTTTCATAGCATGATCATATGTTTCACATAAGACAAGTTTATTATTACCACCAAGAAATGGATCAGGATAATGTGCAACCGGTTTCAGATATGTATCAGAATTTTCACCTGAACGAGCCTGTCCAGTTGATGAACCATCAAAATTCCACAGTGGAAAATCTTAAAAAATATTTCAGAAAAGCTAATAAAGTGTTATTTTTTTTTTTATTTCCATTATTGATTATTTTATTTTAATTTATCAAATTTTTTTAGTAACTTTCTTTTTTCTTTCTTTTTTAACCATAAATAATTTTTATATTTATAAATCAAATAAATTATTAGCTTTATTCTAACCATTAATACTTTTTGGTACATTAGTAATGGTACGAGTTTTTGAGCGCATAGTTTCACCTGTTCCATCAATCCATATGTATGTTGCCTAAATATATGGGCAATATTTGAATTTTATTTTACAAATTGAAAAGAAAAAAATTTGAAATTTTTTATTATTTTTTTTTTTTTTTTTGAAGAAAGTTATACCTGACAGAAAGATGGATGTGGCTTAAGGCCAATAAATTGATCAAAAACAGCCTTGGCTAAAGGTAAACGTACACTAAAAGACATTATCGAAATATCTAAAATAAAAAGAAATATGAATAAGAATTATTTTCATTTTCTATTTGACAGCAAAAATATTTCAAAATGTTATGTGACAATTGAAATATGTGACATATAAGGAGGCTTTTCTTTTTTTTTTTTCCAACCGAATGCTAATGAAATAAATAACAGAATGTTAATATTTAAATTATAAAATTATATTAAACAAATTTTTGAAAAACAATATAAAACAAAAAACAAAAATAAAATTTGGGGATGAAAAAAAAAAAGAAAGATGAAAAATTAATGATTTAAGAATTTTTTCTAATAAATTTTTATGCATATAAATTAATATCAAATATAAAGTTTTAAAAATTTGACAAGAATTATAGTATAAATCTATTAGTACTAATTTTCGGAAAAAAGATTTGCTTTAATTGTTTACAATCAATTTGATGAAGTAATGAAATTATTGAACGATAAGTATAAAAAAATATATAATAAAATGAGTGTGAGAAACATTTTATAATAAAATTCATTCATTAATTTATTCTTTTTATATTCAACTTTCATAATTAGATAAAGTAATATTTATTTATCAAATGATACTTTTATTACTTTTATTTTAATTAATTTCCAGCAGAAAAAAAGAAAGAAAAAAAAAAGATTTAGTTAAAAGAGAAAAAGAAGTAAAAATGAAAAGCTAAGCAAATTTATAATTCACTAAAATTTCAAAAAAAAAAAAAATTCAATTATAATACCTTAACCAAAAATAGTGAATGCTTCAAAATAACTATTGAAAAAGGAAATTTTTTTTTTTAAGACAAATAATTTCTTAAAGTAAAAGCCAAATTGTACAAATGAATTTCAGTCAAATAATTTTAGCAAAGAGAATTATGGGAATTATTTTATTTTATAAATGTAAATTATTCATTTGAAATTATATTCATCAAAAAAAAAGAAAAAAGAAAAATAGAAACCAAAACAGAAAACACTTTTCTTTCTTTCTTTTTTCATTAACGAAGGGTTTTTTAAAGAGAAAAAATTTTTTTCCCAGTAAGAAAAGTTAATGTTTGATGTGTTTCATTTTTTGAGAGAGAGAGAGAGAGAAAAATAAAGAGGGAGAGAGACTCATTAATTAATTCTTTTCATGAATTCTTCCTGCTTATTCTTGTTCGTCAATCAGATATTGTAATATTCCGGTCTCATTCCGGTATTGTTTGAAATCCAAGAATATAATTATTTAATTTATCTGTTTCTTTCTCTTCATTTATAGTAAAAATAATGAATAAATTTAAATTTGAATTTATTTCATTAAATGTTCATTATGATATCATCTTCTACTTTTCTCAAAATATAATGAGTAAATTAATCAAAAAATGAGAAGAAAAGAAATGATGAAAAAATTGAACACAAATTTTCATTTTAGAATGAATTTTCTTTGTCAGTCCTTAAAACATTTTATCAATTAATCAAATTTCCTATCAATGTCAATGTTATGATTTTCAAAACAATGATAAAAATTAGTGATAACGTAATATTTTATCAACCATAATTCAACAGAACATTTCTCAAAAATTAAAAAAAAAAATAATTGCTTAATTTTTTTTTTTCTGATTAATTACCCACTTCTGTCTTTAAAAATTGTCATAAAGAACATTTGATAAAAACTAAAATAAAGCTATATCAATAATAATACTATATTAAATGTAAACTAGAATTAATATACTTAATATTTATAATAACTATGTATTAATGTATTTTATCATATTTACTCAGTTCAATTCATTTATATTCAATTATTCAATTAAAATTATTGGTGATGAATGCTATGAATATTTTTAGTATTAAAAAATGAAAAAGAATAGTTATACTTATGTTTGTTTATTAACTGCAAAGAATAAACATCAAAAATTGTTGACAAATACGATGCGATGAAAGTGCTATTTTAATGAACTGTGTTAATAATGTATGTGAATTAATCATTATTATAATAAGTTGATAAGATTCTGAACATAAAAGCTTTAATACTATTATATTGTTTTTATCGTTATCAGTTAATATCAGTAATAAACAAAATGTTAATGAAAATTTGTTACAATAAAAAAATCTTTTTTTTTTTCTGTTTTAAGCAACAATGAATGAAAAATTACAGTTCTCTAATTTATAAGTCATTAATCTTTGAAATTAGAAATTGTTGATTTTTGATGCTTTAAAGATAGTTTAAAGAGACAATGATGACATGTTAATAGATAAAAAAGAAAAGGCAAAAAGGTTTTAAAAAGAATTTCTACCAAAAATATCTGACAAATTTTCGTAAATAAAACAAAAAAAAGGAAATAAAATGTCTGATAAATTTGATAAAGAATTCGATATGAATTTGATTGTGATATATTAATAATTATATGTTAGTTAGAAGAAATAATAATTAATAATTATAAATTATAACGAAAAGATTAGAATTGTGTGTTACACTATGCAATCGCATTATTTACGATTATTATTTTTTTTTATGTTATCGAATTTTGATGTAATCGCTAGCATTAAAATGAAAGGCATTTTAAAAGATATCAAAAATAATTTCACTGAGATGTCAATATCTATAAAGATGTCAACAATCTATTATTATAATAACTGAAGCCTGAAAAAAAAAAAAATTCTTTTTCTGCTTAAATTGAAAAATCCCAGTTTCTTTTAGCAACTCAAAAAACACAAAAAATATAATCAAAATATAAATTATGTGCGATTTCATTGTAAAAGTAAAATATTACTTTTCTAAAGCTTCCATTTGCTGTTTTCATTTATTTTAAATTATTATTATATGCTAGCAATAAATTCATATCTCATTGTGGATTAAAGAATTATTTGAAAAATGAAAGTTAAAAGTATTGGAAATGATAAATGAAAACTTTAAAGTTGATATTTTAATTTGAAAAGAAGTTAATAAGTCGAATCATAATTTCTATAATAATAATTTCTTAAAGAATCATGTGGAAAAATGAAAATATTCTGATTGAAAAATTAAATAATAAAGACAAAAAAAAAGAGATAAATGTCAATGAGATGTGAAATAAAATTCAATTAAAAGTTAAAAAAAAAAAATTAAATTCACAAAATGAATAATACATCAACCTTAATAATCAGAAATTATCAATTGAGAATTATTTACTGATAATATTATTTGCTGTAACATCGATGCTAAATCTATAATTAATCAAACAAAACTTTACTTTTCTTATCTCACTGATACCATTAAATTATCACCACTGTCATTTTAGCTCATGTTTTCTCGACTTAGTAAAAAAAAAGTGATTTAAGTGTTGTTGTACAGAATGCTTAAGAATACTGTTAAGATATAATAATTTTCTCAGATAATTAATCAGTGATTTAACAATGATTAAATGATTACTTTTTTTGTAGTTTAAATTAATACATTTCTTTTATTATTTGCTTTTTATTTTTGTTTTAAATTTCTAAGCTAATTAATTGGACTGATAAAATTATACTAACATGTCTTTTCCTTCTTTTTTTCTGTATTAAAGATTAATTGAAGAAGTAAGTTCGTAAAAAAAAAAAATAAAATTTTATTTGAAATTAATGAATAAAGTTTGCATCGATAAAAAAGAAAGAGTAAAATGATAGAGAAATGATTGAAAGTTAGACACAGATAGCAACTATAAGCCTATAATAGCTACAAGCCTTAGAGATTTTCAATGAGAATTAAAATAAACACTTGTAAAGGTGAATATAGAGTTAGAGTTAGGGAGAAATGTTGTTGAAAATTTGACTTTGTAATAGATCGCCGTCAATAAATATACTTTGTTAGGTTAGTTAGTAAGTAAGTAAGTTAGTTAGTTATATGTCTATTCAGTTTCATTAAGTTTCAATCGATTTTTCTTTTAGAATGAAATTGTCATAGTATTGAAGAATTTTTTTTGAAAAAAAAAGGAAAACATATATATATCAAAGTATAAGTTTTCCAATATTTCAAATTTTTTTTTTTTGTAAATTTCAATTAAGAGTGGGAGAAAAGATTAGCTTTAGATATTGCTTTATGCGATAGTTCTATTAATTAATTATTATTGAAGATGGAAATAAATTTAGTTAAGCTTTTTTGCAATTTAAAAATGCTAAATATTTCATTAATGAATTATAGCATATTGAATTATGGCATAATATATTAAAAGTTGAAATGAATTGCATTTATAATTTAATATTATATCATTTTCTATCAATTAAAATGAATAAATTTTTTTTCAATAATACTTAGTTAAATTAATTTTAGAAGGTAAAAAGCATATCATAGTGAAAATGAATTATCAGAGAGAAAATATGATAATGAATGATATAAAATGAAATATTTATAAAAGCAAAAAATTTCATTTACAAATAAATTTTCATACATTTCAAAAATTATAAAACAAAGAACAAAATTTATATAAAACTATAAATTGTTCACAGAAAAAGCCATACTTGCCTTCTTGAAACTAATACTTGCATATTTCAAATTATAAATTACTAATGAAAATGAAAGGCATATGTCTTTCTTATTTCTTGAAATTATATTTGCATAAAATGCTTAGCACGCAAAATTAAGAAAATAAATTTCACTTCCTCATTAATACTTCCTCATCAATTTTAATTGTAAAATTTCGAAGGCTATAGCTTTTTTTAATGAAAATTTCAATTTATTCCCTTTTTTGTAACTTAAATAAAATTAAAAAAAAAAAAAAAAAAAAAAATCAAAGTCTAATTAACTTTCAATCATAACATATATTTTTTCGCCTAATTTTAATCCATCTAAACAGAAATTGTTATCATTTTTGTTTAAACAATACTCACTGCAAGTTTCCTTTTCTTCTTTTGCCTTCCTAAACAGTATCAATAATATTGGAATGATAAGAGAAAATGCTTCATTGCAATGATAAATTCTCATCCATTTTGGCTATTAAATAATTTTTCCTATTTATTCTTTCTTTCTTTAGTAACACTGTTAAATTGCTGATAAGTGAAGTATGAAATTTGTGATTAAAAGTTAATATTACACTAGTAATGATGCTAATTGCTAATTGCAGCCAACCTAAATAAGTTGCTAAAGTAAGCCATATTCATTAATAGACTTAGTCTCAAATCAACATTTATAAGTAATCAATTAAATTTAGTTATTACTGTGAGTCAAATTTTTGTTCATTTCATTTCTAAAAATGAACAAAAAAGAAAAAAAAAAGAAGAAAATGAAAAAGAGAAGGAAAAACGATTAATTTGTTCATTATTCATCGTCAGTTCGTGTGTGTGTGTGTGTGTCTGTGTGTGCATGTATGTGTATGTATGTATGTATGTATGTGTGTGTGTGTGTGTGTGTGTATTAGTATGTCTGTCAGTCTGTTTATCTATTTGTGTTTACGCAATTAGAAGAGAGAAATTGTAAACAAAAAGTGTCCGTCAATTATCTTTGTGAAATAAAAGCGAATGTTTAATTTTACTTGCAATGTTTGCATTTTGTTGAATATTTATTAATAAAATTTATAATTAATCAAAAAATTTCAAATGTTTTAAGAAAAGAAAATTTTTTTAATTTTTGATTATAATTAAATGATAACTTAGCTTATTAATTTATTTGATCAAATTTTAATTGCTATTCATTTTTGGAAAATCCTTCAAAAAAAAAAAAAAAAAAAATTATTTGAAATTGTATTGGAAAATAAATGATTCATCCATTTTTTTTTTCTTTTTTTCTTCGTTCATCTGCTTATTTCCATATTCAAAATCATTAATGTCTTTTATCATTTGTCACATCTAAATATTCAATAAAAATGCGAGACATATCCATTTTAGCTTTCGAATCTAAGGCTCACATTTCATATCTTTTTTTCAATTCTTTTAATAAAATTTAAAAACTCACAAAATTTCACAAAATTCAAAAAAAAAAAAAAAATTCAATTTCATAAGAATTGTTTGCAGATTACGGCCACTAACCTCTCAAAAAGAAAAAAATTTTGCAAACTTTTAAAGATTACACAAAAAGAGCGCTTTGTGTGAAAATATTGATCAATGATCAATGCCGGATGATAGATCTAATCAGGAAGATGTCCGATCCGATTAATCGTATCACAATGATTTTTATCAGTTATCTTTATTGTATCTTTTCTACATACGATAAATACAAGCAATCTTATGCATCAAAAATTTGAAAAATACGAATAAGCTAATCAAATACGATCAAATGATCGATTGTATTCCGTAAAATATAAATTGAAAACCGGAAAATATAAATAAGTTAAATGACAACATTTAATCGATTTATCGAAAACGAACGAATTGAACTTTAAAAGAAGAAACCGCCAGGACAAGAACATATATCAAGCGGTAAACATATAATTGAATGTGATCAAAACGCAACAAACTATTTAAGAAAAAATGATCAAAGATTCAAAAAAAAGAAAAAAGAATGATTGGAAGGCGTATTTAATTCTTTTTACACTAAAATTCTAATTGAAAATTTTGATATGGCAAAGAAACTAATAGAAGAATACATTTTATTAATTATACCATTTAAAAGAATACTTAATAACTTGAATTTAAAGAAAGAATTATTAAAGTAATGTGGTAGATAAAATTTAAAACGTTTTTAATTCTAATAATCAAACATCGAATAATCTAATAAGAAGTGAGAAATAAGTTTGTACATTTTTATTCATTGATATATCTAAACTACTATAAATATATTGAATGTATGGTTTGTTTTTTTCTTAATGCAATGATAATGATGATATCAGTAATGATGATCACAATGCAGCTAATGATAATAACAGCATGGATAATGATAGTAACGATTAAACAGATAATGATAACAAGTATATATAATAATTACGATGTGGATAATGATAATAACGATTTGGATAATAATAATGATGACAATATGAACAATGATAATGACAATGTAAATAATGATAATCATAAAATGAATAATGATAACGATAATAAGAATAATGAATGTTGATAATGACAGCAAGAATAATGATAATAATGATATGGGCTAATTTGTAAACATATTCAAATTTACAAGGAAAAAAAAAGAAAATATCATTTTTGAGCATACTGAAGAATATAATTGAAAATGAAAAGTTTATTTCAAAAAGGCAACAAAGATAAAAAAAAAAAAAAATTGGATAATAATTAAGCTGAAATTGAGAAAAACAAGAAGAAATGACTGAAACGAAGGTTTCAACAAATGAGAAATGGTATTTCATTGATTGTATTGTAATAAAGTTAAATCAACCAACTAATCATTGTAAATAAGCATTAATTAATTATTGTAAGAAAATAAGCATTAATTGAAAGAGAAATAATGCTTAATTCGGCAAAAGCTAATTTCATTTTGACAAGTTTCCCTCGTGCTCAATATTAGTTTGTGTGGTTTAGAAGAATACCTTTGTAGAAATTTTTATAACATTTTATGCATCCTTAATACTTCTCAGAAAAACCATACACATACACCAATAATTCTAGAGAATGATTTAAATTAATTTATAAATTCCAATCAAGTATTTAATCCTGAGTGTAAGTCATTACTAATATTCCCCTTTGAGATAGCCGTATAACTAAGTGAGGCCGCGTTAACTTGAATCATGTTTGGTTTATGAATTGTTGAGGTTGGTTAAAATGTGTGGTGGTATATATTTGTTTGATGGGTTCAAAGATTGGTTTCGCTGTGTTCGTTAATGTTCTTTTCATTTACGATGAGGATGTTATAAGAATGAATAGGAAAATTTAGCAAATTTTGAAAAAATTGAGTACAACTTAGTCAAATACTTCTTAATTTAAGGTGGTACATTACAGTTAAGTCCACCATTATTATTATCATTATTACAGTTCATCTTTACAATTAAGTTTGATTGTAATGATGAAGTTTAGAGTGACGTAATTAACTTGTTTTATTTGCTTAATTCGTAATTTATTATTAATGAAGATTTTGGCATATATCTGAGCATTTATCTGTTTCAAGTGCTTGATCCATTACTAATGATGGATTTATCGATGACGGAAGATGATAGTAAATTGGCTGGACACAGTGAGCCGATTAGTGCTATCGCTGTTTCGTTACATCCACTAGTCATAATGAATATATCGGAACATGTGACTCGAATAAGCGCACAGCGGAATGATGGAAAACCTTTCGAGGTGAAATTATAAACCATTTACTATATCTCGACAATTCCTCAATGTTTTTCTTATCTAACAGTACTATGTTGAAGATTATTTTGGCTGCAGGTTTTTGGTGCAATACTTGGAAAGCAATCTGGAAGGCATATTGAAATGATGAATAGCTTTGAAGTGAAATGGAATAATGAAGGAAAAGGTTATGCGGTTATTGATGCAGATTTTCTTTCTACAAGGGAGCAGCAATGTAAAGCCTTTTTATTTGGTCTACATCCATAAATTTACAGTATTTTGTTGTCTCCAGTTTATATATTTGATCCCTTTATGGATTTAAACAAGATTTTTATCGTTGATGTTGTGTATGTTTGTTCCTTCACTGCTTTTCTTGGTGCTTTATCTGCATCTTGTACTTTTAATGTTATATGAACAAAGTATTTCAATTTTAAATTCTTATTGGACTTTTTTTTGATATATTTTTGGATCGTTATTTCTAGATCAAGAAGTGTTCCAAGATTTGGATTATGTTGGTTGGTATACTATTGGAGACACAACACCAACACAAGCAGATTGGGAGGTACATCAGCAATTCTCTGTAATGCATGAGTCACCAATTATGGTGAAGCTTGATCCAAAAGCACCACCGGGTAACAAGGTATGAATGTTAGATTCCTGTTCACCTTTCTGAACCATGTAATAAGTTTTTCCAACTTTCAAACTCAGCTAGCTTACGAATAACAATTGTTGAGCGTAATAGTTTTATACGGCCCAGATACGAGGGATTTCCTGCAGGGTGTTATAACAAATGATATCAATAAGTTAAATAGCCAAAAGGCTATTTATTCTTCCGGTAATTTTTTGTTAACTGTAAGCTTCATTCTCGTCTATTTGGCAAACCCTGTAATTGCACAGCGTCTTTCTTTACTACAAGATTACTTTACACGGAGCCACATAGTTTATATAGTTTTATCGCTGATTACCTTAGTGACATTTTCTTTTCTCAATACAAAAACCATACTTAATCTCTCATTTGCAAATTTTACTTCATTTCAAATCTGCATACTTTGCTTAAGAAATTGAAATAAGCATTTACCTTTTTGCAGTTACCAGTGGCAATCTATGAGTCTGTGTGCACTACCGGCTTATCAGCAAGCAGCCCAAGTTCAGTAGTATGGCATTCAGTTAATTGGTCATTAGCCAGTGAACAAGCCGAACGTATTGGAATTGAACACGTTGCTCAAATTTCAACTGTTTCAACTAACACTGTATCTTCCACAAATAAACAAATTGCAGGACAGTTGGGTGCTATAAATATGCTGCAGTCACGGCTGGAACTTATTTATGATTATTTAGTAGTAAGTTAGAATAATTCAGATTGAAATGTGGCAATGCTTATTTTCAATAACATGTAGAAAAAGAAAGAGTGGTAGGGAACATAATTCTTACATTTAACTATTTTTCTGAAGAATATTCATTTTGTATTGCTGAAGTTATCGCATTACTGACTATCGTTTCACATTGATCTCGTACATTAAGCTTACTTACATTTTATTGCGCGTAGTGTATATTTAGAATAAAAAAAAAAAAAAAAAAAAAGGCGGTCTCTAGAAAAGTGGAATTGCTGTAAGGAATTATATGGGCATTGCTTCAGGCAGTTCGTAAGGGCGAATTACCACGTGATGAAGCTATTATACGTGAAATCGCTCAATTGGTACGTCGAGTACCAGTTATGAGTTCGGACAAATTCTTACAGCAATACAAAAATGTAGGTTTTTACGTCGATAAAGGGCGTTCTGTTCTTTTTTTAAGTCATTAGAAACTATTTAGCGACTCAATTCAGATTCTTATTCGTACAATCTGGAGTAGATAGTTTGACCATTTCAGCAATGTCTGGAAGTCAAAATGACTTCGCTTGTGGCAGTCCTTACAAAAACTTGTGGAACGCTTAATGATGTAAGTATCATTTCAATTATTTTCAGCTTTACTTAAAGAAAAAATTAAGCATGCATATGAGGAAAGGGAGAATTCATTCGAAAAGAAGGAAATATGTATGAATCATAGATTAAAACGAAATCTTTGTTCAATTACAGTTGCAGAGCTTCCTGAGTGTAATTATTATTTCAGTTAGTGACTAAAATGAACGTGATGTCAGTGGAAAGGCAAACTTGGTTGCTTGCTTCTGGTAGACGAGCGCGTCCTTTTCCAGCTATGTGATTTAGTTCTTTCAAGCCCTTTTTTTTTCTGTTAGAAATGTAATAGTTTTTTTACAACTTTGAGAATTTTCGGTAGCAATGTAGTATTTTTAGATTTAAAAGTGATGTTTCTGCAGCGTCTCAGTAATGCTTCTGTTCTCTGGCTTTGAAAAATAAAGTGGGATTTCATATCTATCTGTGCAAGAGAACAGGATTTATTTGTTTGCTAAACAGTAACGTTAACAAGAGAAAACATTGCAATTAGTTGCAACAATTAATTTCCTTAAAAAATATTAGTCTTACATTACATCATTTTTGAAGTTAATCTCTTTTTATAACTGCTGTGGAATTGTCAGACTACATAATATATTCGAATGACTCTTTCAATTATAATTTAAATCTTGTTTTTAATTGAATTGAGCCGTTAAAATTTGGCGCTGCTATCAATTTTCTCGTTCCTTTGCATTATATTTGCAGAAATTTTTTGAATAATTTTGTTAGCTTCGTATCATAGCAGTGGATTTATTAGTGATGTCAAATTTGAAAAATCGGATGGCTATGCTGCTTCGGTTAGCTGTTAATTGTATGTACCCTGTTGTTGATAAGTGTACATTGTTATTTTTTAACATTTTTTGTTACAAAGTTTTGTTTCTAATTTCTCTGTTACTAATAAACTTTGATTTATTAATTAAATTACATGTGAAATGGAATCTGTAAAATCATGCTGCTAAGATTGTTAAAGTCTCCTATTTATTATTCTCAGGTTGTCTTACTATAGATTTTGACCTTTAAGGATACCATGGTTTCTAGAGTGTTTCTAAAGAATTGCTAATAGTTCTTTCGGGGTGTTCTATTTAATACTAGCATAAGGTAAATTTATTCATGAATTTCTCAGCGGGTTTGAGAACATGTATGTTTTTGTCTGTCAAATGAAATGTAATCTTATTTTTCAGTTTTAATACCATAATTCCAGGGAGCAAATCAATAATGTCGCGGACTGCCTTTTTAAGATCTTGCTCTTCCAGTTTACGAAATTCGTTAAGATACTTGCAAATGGGTAATTATGCTCCCGAAAAGGTGTTTGATTTAGAAGATTTGTTCTGAGTTATTATTCTTTATGAAGTCAACATATTGAAGAAAAGAAGAGGGAGTGAAAATAAACTGATGCAATGAGCCATCTTTATGAACATAGTATTGAACATTTCAGAGATTTTGAAAAATTATTGATTAACTTAGTAATGCTTAAATCGTTTACTTAAGGGAATTTTTGGTGAGGAATTGCTGAAGCATCCATCCGGGTTCAAATTACTGAATGAAAAAGTGAGGAAACGGTCCTTCGAATTGGTTGATAAAGTAAAAAACTTTTCCAATTATCGTTTGAAATTATATTGCCAGTATCGCTAAAGTATTTATTTCTTGTTGTAGCAACTGTTTTTCTATTTGTTTAAAGCATTTTGGATGGGATTAAGGTGTTATTATGTTAATTATTATGTGATAGCTTGCCATCTTAATGTATTAATTTAATCGCTGGTACTGTTAGTCTTTTCTGAGTGTTTTTGAATCATGTTTTTGAAATAATAACTGCTTTTCTGAAAAACTTTTCCGTTGTTAATCGAAAAGTATTCTTATAGATCGTCAATCGAAAATGTGATAAGAAAGTTGTTGAAGTTTTTGATGATTTATCAAATGAAATATGTAGCGCTGCTGATTTGGTAAGTCTTGCTATTCACTTCGAAATTCGGTTTCTTCGTATCAAATTTAATTTATAAATAAAATTTTATAGTTGAGATACTGAGATATTGGTTGTATTCTTCTTTGATATGCAAAAGAATTTCGGTTGGTTGGGCTTAGTTTAGTTTATATCATGAATTTTATGCCATTTTTTTGAAATGCATTTATTTGTATGCAGAAATTTTTATAGATTGGTAGAGCATACAAATGCCTGCATGATTCACTGATATATATGCATAGTTGTTAAGAACAGGAACAGATGGAGAGTGAAATGAGTGAGAGTCATGTGTGACAACATTGCTGGAGCAATAGTGAAAGGATTGACATAGACATATTAGTTTTATCACTATGAATTTGTTTCAGGCCGAATGCGTTCGAAATATGCATTCAATTAAAGAATTTAGTACAGCAGCAGAAGAAAGCATGAAAGATTTCACCGAACTTGTGGAAAGGTATTACTTAATTCATTGCAGAAAGCTTAATTCTACCTATCTTTGGATTTTCTGAATCTTCTTTTCTCTAATCTTTTGTTTTAGATTATTATAGTTCCAATTTCATATTTTCAGTTTGAATACCAGATCTGATTTGTACAAGGCATTGAAAGACTCATTAGAAGCAGAGAGTAGTTCTTTGACAGATATCGATAAACGTACAGCTTTGTTATTCCTCGATGATTTTGAACAAGCTGGTGTTAATCTACCTCAAACTCAGGTAAGGAAGGATTTTAATACATGAAATTCCTTTGAAATCTATACTGTATTAGGTCACTTTGAATATGTAGTCATTTGATTTACATTTCTCTCAACTCTTTTATAGGATAAACTTTCCACGGAAGTTATATCCTTGATATGGATAGAGTGCTATGTTGATTCCTAGTTTTCCGTTATAATTGCAGTAAGGATTTCCAAAATACCGTGGAACCTACTCTAGATGACAAGATGATTTACACTGAAATATCGCTTTCTAAATAAATTCTTTTACATGATATATATATATATATATATATATATATATTGTAATGAGTTAATAAATTCTGATTTAGAAGTGTGAATATGTAAGACTTAGCAAGGAGATTTTTATGGTTGGTTCAGAATTTACGCATGGTGCCGAATTACCTGTTATGGTTGCACCATTTTATAGTAAAATGTATAGAGTGAAGCGACATCTCTATAGTCCGAATGCACTTGCAGTTAGTCGGAGTACCAGGCAGTGGTCATATTCTACCTATTACTCATATAATGAGGAGCAAGTATGGTAATTCTCTCATTGTATTTGATCTTTTTCAACAAATAGTCGTTAATGTTAGTCTCAGATTAATACATCTCCTATAATTCATAATTACATCACCCTAAGTCTTTCTGATTGATGACAACTCGACGTGACATGTTTTGACCCTTTTCATTTCATTTACCTTTTAACTGAATTCTTTGTAGTTTGAATTCCATGATTTATTTGCATAATTTTTCATTTATGCGAAATGAAAATTTTTCAGGAGAAACGCTTACGCCACCTAATTACTTGTCGACATTTGTTGGCTCAGCTTACAGGATTCCAATCCTATGCTCATCGTGCTCAACAGACTTCGTTGCTTGGTTCATATGAAAATGCTCACGACTTCTTGATTGAAGTCATTAAAGTAAATTCATCTTATCATATAGGATGCTTGCTTGAAAATCCATCATTGATAAAAGGAAATTGCTGAATGATATTTCAAGCGCATATTTATTGCTCGTGTGGCATTTTCTCAAAACATATGATGTATTTGTTTATCTGTTTAACTATATGCTATTTAACTTACGCGTTAAATTGATTTGTTCCGTTTGTATTGCAGTCATGTCAACCAGCAGCCGAACAGGAATTAGCCGTATTGGCTGATGTTTTAGCTCAGGTAGAATCAAAGCGAGAGCATCTCTGCGAATCTGATTTAACATATCTTTGTATGCTGTATCGCGAGAATGCTTTTGGTCAGTTACAACATCTTTCCAGGTAATATAAAGTTTAAAAATGTTTGTCATTTTACTTATTATTAACTATAATGGAGTGAAGTAGTCAAATAAATGAAACAATTATCTTAAATTCATTAAATGATATAACAGAGCTATGCAAGCAGTTTATTAGAATTACGTAAAACTTACATCTAGTAGTGTTTCACATTATTTTAAATGTTGTGCTATTTTTGATTTCAGGTATTTCTCGTTTAGCAATCTTCTAAAAGGGTTCGAATTGATTGCAAAACGATTGTACAATGTTTCTTTTTCATTTCTGACACCTATTGCTGGAGAAATTTGGCCAGGAAATATTATTAAGATTGTCAGTTTTTTATTCATCTATATGTTCATGTAGTAAAAGGTTTTTAATTTTAAACTTTATCTCTTTTTTTTTCCATCAACCGTGAAGGTATGTAGCCCACTTAAAAATTTAGGCCTCTGTTTGAGTTGGTTCTTTAGTAAAAAGTTGTTTAACTTATTTACAAAGCGATGTGAATTTCAGACTGTATTTTTGTTATTTTATAGAATGTTTTTCAAGACAAAAATGAGTTTTTGGGAACGATTTACATCGATATTCAAGACCGACAAACGAAAACAGCAGGAGACTGTCATTTTACTGTTCGTTGCTCCAAGCAGGTTTTCTTTTTCAACTAATTAAATAGATGTAAATTTCTTCCTTATACTAATGTAATTCAACAATTTCTCATAATACGTGAAAGGCATTTCATAGGACATTTTCATTGATTACCATGACAAAGTAACCTAAAGTTTATTGGGATCGTAAACTTATTTCGGAAATTTTGGAAATTTATTATGCAACTTTACCCGACATGCAGACACTTTCTGAAAAACTCTGCATGATGATTGAACGTTTGCTATCATTTCATTCAAATGGTGTATGTTATAGTTAGACGATGGTTCATATCAAACACCAATCGTTGTTTTATCATTGTCATTAACAAAAGGATTGGAAAGTATTGAAAATATTTTTTTGAGTCCTCATCAAGCTGAAAATTTTTTCCATGAAATGGGTCATGCGATGCATTCAATGCTTGCTCGCACTCAGTACCAACATGTGGCTGGTAATTTTATTTTCGTCACTTACAAGGGGATATTTAAATGAAATATCCAAGAACTGCTTTCTTTTTTATCTATAGATTTCAAACATACTTTAACTTCTTAATTCATTGTACAAGTCCTATAGGAACTCGCTGTTCAACTGATATGGCAGAAGTTCCATCCAATTTAATGGAATATTTCTTCAATAACATTGATGTTTTACGCGAAATAGCGAAAGATAATCACGGACGTCCGATAAGCGTCGAAGATGCTGCTTCTCTCATAACATCACGATTTGCTTTCACATCCCTGGAAATGCTACAACAGGTTTCTTACACTTGAAAGTTTTGTTAGAGCCTCGAAATTATAGCTAGTTTATATTTTAATTTTACTATTTCTCTTATTTCAGGCTGTATATAGTCTTTTTGATCTTGAAGCCCATGGTGGCAATGCTGAGGGTATAATGAATGGTCGAGTTTCAACAGCCGATCTGTATGCATCAATTTGGTCGGTAGTTTTTCCAAATGTTAAGAAGGAGACAAGTTCCGCTTGGCATCACCGGTAAATTTTCCGCTTTCAAATAAGAGTTTTTAGATTACAATGGAAAGGAGAAAGCTTTTGTAATTCACTACTACTTTCAGATTTGCACATTTGGTACCATATGGTGCAAAATACTATTCCTATTTAGTAGCAAGAGCTGCAGCTTCGTTGATTTGGAATACCAGATTTCGTGATTATCCATTTTCCAGGGAAAACGGCCTTGCGTGGGCAAAGGTATTGTTTGTTGAATTTTTCCATTTGTCGAAAAATTTGCTAATTTATCTAACAATTCTAATAAATGATGATCACATAATGTTGTAATACGAATATTATAATTTGATATGTTAAATCTCACTTTAAAGCTTGCTAGGTTATCATTAATTTTTTGGATATTTTACCTTTTTATTTATCAAATTAATCAAAATGGCAAAAAATTGCTGTTTTATTATTACTTTTTATAGGTGTTATCGAAAGGTGGCTCGTTACCCTCAGCTGATCTATTGAATTCGGCGCTTGGTTACTGGCCAACAGTGCAGAATTTAGCAACGGCACTGAAGGAGGAAGCTGACCAAACTTGCCAACGTTCAGCCGTCAGTGTATAAAGTAGTTTTTACAAATGTTGAATCGGTAAATAACTTTCATCAGGAAAAATGATATTTTGAGTAGCCCTGCTACATTCATCTCGTCATCTTCCTTTATTTATTCACGCTTTTACTTCTTCCTTATTTCTGTTTTTATCTTCATATTTTTTTTTTCTTTTTCTTCTTTTTTCTCTCTCTCTTTTTTCACTTTCACAGATTTCTGTATCAGTATGTAACCCATTTTTCAAAACGATTAACATCTGCATCTTGGCATGAAAATTTGTCTCATATGTTTTTTTATGAGTTTCATTAAAGAAATTTACATCGAAATATTAACTTCTTTTATTACCTAATTTGTTTTTTGTTTTTTTGATTTTTCTTTAGGAGATCCATCCTCTTATCTCTAATACAAATTATCTATTGATACAGTTCATTTTAACAACGTTATTTAATCCAACTTGTTATTTTTATCATCTGATCTTTGCGGACCAATATTCGCTATTGTCTTCATGGCTATTCGAATCTTCTGAAAATTGTTTCTGCCATACTTCGTCAATAATTGAGAAATTGCTATTTTCATTTTGTTGTGAAATATTTGATCTTAAGGGGGAAAAATTACATTTTTTTTTTAAATAAAAAACTCCAAGGATACTGCAGTTTTATCAATTTTGACTATTGTGTTTCTATTACACTTCGTCCTCCATTCCGCAATATCATCGTTTTCTGGTACCTTACTCCACCGATCTTTTTATTAAATAATTTACAAGAATAACATTTTTTATCAATTTGCTAGTAATGATTCTATAAAGATGTTTCATTGTCTATTTGAAACATTCTGATTTTTTGCTTTGTTTCCTAAATGCTTTTCATTCAGGACTTTGGATCATAACAGCAGTTCAGTTTACGTGTACTGAATTTTGACCTGGCGAGTTGCAGTTTTTGATTTTCTATCTAAAGCATTTTTTACTTTGTGCACTTTTTATACTGCAGTCTTACATAGTGATGTCGATTTTAAGGATTTTCTGTTTTTGAAAATTTTCAAGATGCTCAAATTTTCAACCACGAATTCATTGCTTATTTATTTTAGTTTTTCTTTTTAGATGAAATTTGAGGAAGTAAAAATAACAATGTTCAATTTTAATATTCAGTGTTGGGGTCAATTTTGTCTTGTACATGTTTTGAATTTGCATTTAAATAAGTCTAATGTTTATGATAGATAATTTGTTGAAATGCAAATGAGAGTACAAGGAATGATTCATTTCCATTTTGTTACTATCTCATATTGTGTTGTTGTTTCTTTTTTTTTTTTTTAATTTATTCTGACGAGTTGTGTTTATATTTGAATATATTACACCTGTGAAATTGCCTTGTTAGATTTGTCTTACGTCATTCAGTTGCGAATTCCACGTATAGATCAATATAAAGCTTTATGAATTATAGAAAGTTCAAAATGCTAAGTCTTCGAACGTTGCATTACTGGGTATTATTAATTGATAATATTATTTCCATATGGTTGAGTCTGTTTCCTTCATTCTTTTTTTTATTTGTTTTTCTAAAACTTGAGTAAATTTTTTTGTTTTAATTCTTTTACTCTATCTGGTTTTATTTTATCACCATTATATTTTCCTCATTTTCTTCTGTTCTTCAGTTGTACTCATGAACAGTCCGCATTATTTGTTTACTTTTTTTTGTATTTTGGAAAAAAAAAAAACAAGTTTCATTCATGACATTATCAGTTGGGACATCAATGACATTGTCAGATTGATTCATAGTAAGTAGTAAATTTTTTTACCAATAGTAACATTTGATGGAATTTTTTTTTTTTTTTCACTGGAGGTTTAATTTTTCGTTCTGCAGAATGTCTTTATGCGTCATCACATTTAAGCTTAATGGTAATTAATTCATAAACAAACAGATATTCATTCTTAAGTTTATTCTCTCAGTATCTAGCAAGTATACTATAAAATGAATCTATAATACTCCAAAAAAAAGAAGATAATTTTATTCAATATATGCATAATAAGGGCGCATTTATGTTTATAGCAATTAAATTTGCCAATGTAATTGCAGTATATAAATATAAAACCCAACTTTTCAATACATTGCACTAGTCTTACCTTATCTTCCTACACTTATAATTTTGCAGTATTCATTTCCATTAGATTAGCTTAAAAGCAGATAAAGTATATAATTTGATAAAAAGATTTTCACGTATTTTATTATTAGGAAGTAATATATAAGCTATATAGTTATTGAAACAATATCAAATTATGTAAATTTATGCGACGTTTAATATTTCAAATTGTTTAATAAGCAAATCCTTAGTAATATATTAATAATTAAAAAACTTAAAGCTATTTCGTTTAGTCCATTTGGCTCATTATGCTATTTGACTATTTTTCAGTATATAAACAAATAGTTTGCTTCAATCATTTGAAGTAAATGTTCAGATTTAATTAGGTTAGTTTGTTGATTTATTGATTGCTTAAACTGTTTATTGATTAATTTGTCAGCTGTTTGTAAAAAAGAGAAAAGAAAGGGAGGGAGGGAGGGAGGGAGAGAGAGAGAGAGAGAGAGAGAGAGAGAGAGAGAGCATTTGTCATCCTTTTATTCTTATATACTAAATTTAATGTTACCACTGCTAAAAACAATGAAAATTTGTGATTTCTTCCAGGAATTTTTTTTTTTTTTTAAAGGAATAATGAATAATTGAAATGACAAAAGAGTAAGCTTTATGTGAAATTCATTAGCAATAATTATGCAATAAATGGGACAGTAAATAATGAATAATAATAATAAAAAATGATTATTTTCGATTTATTTTGTATGGAACTTTTGGACAAGAGCAATAGTATACATCTGGTCCTGGAATACCTGGTGCACCTACCTGAAATTAATAATTTAGTTCAATTTTTTTTCTTTCAACTTTTCATATTTATTGCTCTTCTGTTAAAATGCTACTGTTAACATTAACTTTTTACAGTTATTTGTAACAACTTTTCAAATTGATAAAATGAGTGAAAAAATTTATCTCATTATATTCAAGATCGCTTACCTGTCCTGAACGTCCATTTTTCCCAGGTTTACCATCATTACCAGGTCGACCAGTTTCACCTGGTTCTCCAGGTACACCATCCATTCCACGTTTCCCTTTTATTCCTGGCTGTCCAATTGGACCAGGTTTACCAATTTGTCCTTTTGCACCTGCTATCCTGATGCTCTTTTTCCCATCACATCCATTCATTCCAGGTTTACCTGGAGGTCCATTAATTCCTGGTTCTCCTATATTACCGGGTGGTCCACGTGCTCCTCTCGGTCCGGACTTTCCTGGTTTTCCCACCGGTCCGTTCTGTCCGTTTGGTCCTTGATCGCCCATGAGTCCATTGGGTCCTGGTAATCCAGGAGATCCAGGAGGACAAATGATACAGCCATCCGGAATATTATACATGGCAAGAAGCGCTACACCGGCTACTCCCTGAGAACCATCATTTCCAGGCTCTCCATCCAAACCATTTTCTCCTTTATCTCCCATTGGACCTGGTGGACCTTTTGGACAGTTCTTTGGCCCATTAGAGCCTGAAATGTTGACAATACGATTGGCTTATATGCAAGTTTACAGAATTCCAAGCAAACAAAAGCAGAAAAACTATACAGCATTTGTTAAATTGTTGTTTCATTCTTGTCTGAAAACTATTACTGATACTACGGATGAAAAAAGTTTTTCCGGTTGATTGGGAATGAAATTGTACAATTTTCGTCCATGCATCATCCACTAATGCCTAAAAAGAGAATAATAAAATTCTTTTTTTTTTTTTTACTGTGACATACAATCGTTCAATTATTTGAATATCACAAACTTATTTTTTTTTTAATTTTCATTCTATGGACAAAAAAAAAAAAAAAAATTTGGATTCTCTATAAAAGATTATCAAAATTATGAATCATAGGTTTACAGAAGAGCAATATTCTTTTATTTTCCATTTGGTATTTTTTTTTTTTCAAATTATTTAAAAAAAAAAAATTGCTCACTCATTCTTGATACTATTATCTCTTTTTTTCCTTGAAAGAACTGAATTAATCCATTTCAATTCTAATCCTTGTTTTCCTGAATTTTTTTTTTTTCATTTCCAGCAAAAATAAATACCATAAAGCATCATAATTACATTAAATTCTTTCATTTCGCCGATAATATCATCGTATAAATTATTTATATCATTGAAAATCACACCAACTACTATCAGTGATACTGTTATCACACTGATACTGATGCCAATTGCAAATTTAACAGCTATACGAATATTCATTTGCCTGAAATTTGTTAGCAAAAAAAAAAAACAATTTCTTTTCTTTTACCATCTTCAAATTTCTATAGCATCAATCAATCGAAACGAAAGAAAAAAGAAAAAGAAGAACAAATGATATTCAATAGATTAATGACATCCGGAATATTGGTTGACACTATTACTTTTTCTTCTTTTCCCATAAAAGCTGACCTGGACATATCATCATCCGTATGCGAAAGTGAAATAGTTGAACCTGAACCTGAGCGGAATATTTTCTCGTAAGCATGAAGCAACCTGATAATATCATTTATTCCGGTCAGCTAGTAAGATACGATTTAGTCTAAATCAACAATAACCTAACTAATATAAAATGATTTCAAATAAATTTGGCAAATGTTAATTTTATCTAAATTAGCGCGCATATGTCCATGCTTTGATGAAATGAAGCGAAATTTTCAAAAAAAAAAAAAAAATAAAAATGAAATGTTAATAAATTAAGGTAAATATGCTGCTAGGTTAGATGTAAAGAACTATCAAAAATTAGTAATTAAATTCAAATGAATGGAATTATGATGAAAATTTGAAATGATAAATTTTAATTTTAAACCAAATATTCAAAATGTATCTATTTGCTTATTAATCGATTTAAAAAGTCAAATTTGAAAATTTTCGTTATTAAATATAAGTCAAAAAAAGCAAATATAAGCTAAAAGTAAAAGTTTTGAGAAGTTTGAAGCAAATATTATTTCACATAAATTCGTTTTTTTTTTTTTTCTTTCAAATAAACAAATTTTACTGGGATGGAAATGAGATTGAAATGTAAATTTTGGAGGTTTAAATTATTCTCTAATTCATATTGATATCATTGCTGATAAGTACAACTTTATCTTTAAGTTAAAAAAGGAAAAAGAAAAAAAAACTATCAAAAGATAAATGAAAAAACTTTAATTCGTACATTAACGAATGAATGTTTACTTTTTCCTTCGGCATTTTTAAATGGGTAAGCAACAATAGTAGCATTTGTTTACATCGGGTAAATTAGGAATGCAAAATGCTTCTCAATTGTAGTTTTTGATTTTTATCGCTTAACTTTATTTCATAGAGAAAAAAAAATTTTTTTGCAAAAAAAAATAGAAAAGAATTTATCATTTTCAAATTTTTAAATTATCGCTACAATTTTGTATGAAAATCATAGATAAAATCTTATTTTTGTTTTTTGTGATTTCCAATTCTCAGCTTATTTTATTTGTGTTTATTTATGTTTATTTTAATTTTAAAGCAAAATTTTTTCTACACATCAATACAATTTTCTTTTTATTATAAGCATTGCTTATTTTGTCATCTAATTAGTTATCAATTTTGATTTAAATTAAAGTTTTTATTTAATTATCAGTAATTTACAATTTCAAATGATTAAATTGTCGTTGAGAAAATACTATGCTTATTAAAATGAATTAAAATAGCTGAAAATATTAATAAGTCTAATATAATCATCATTAATTATTACAAATTAATTATTACATCAATCATCAATTTTCTATTTCAAAAAATTTACATATCATTAAAAAAACAAAAAAAACAAAAAAAAAAAAAGGTAAAATTAACAAATATGAGAGACACTGATATGAATGAATTTATCTTAAATAAAAATTTATCAAATTAAAATTTGATTAATTATAATTTTGTTTCTTTTTCTTTCTTTGTCTCTTTGAATCTATCAAAATGAAATTATTTTATGCAACGAATTATTATTTTATAAGTCAGAATAATATTTAGTATTAAAAAATTTGATATTTTGATAAAATAAAGGAAAAATATGAAAAAGAATGATGACCAAAACAGAATTTCATTGTAATAGTAATTAGTTTGATGGTAGTATGATTGTATTACTGACGATTGCAATATGAGAAAGTATCATTCATTTCTTAAAAAAATTTTTTACACATTTCATTTTTTTAAGAAAAAAAAAAAAAAAAAGAAAAACTTAAAGGATACGATTAGATGAAAATTTAAAGTTGGAAAATGAATGTTTTTCTGGTTTCGAATTATTTTTTGTTCTAATTGAAAAAAACAACTTGTACAATAGTGATAGTAATTTGTCGGCATGTTTAAAGCTTTGTAGGAATATACTACAATTAAACCAGTTATTCTCATAATTAATTAACATAATTAAAAAATCATGATTAATTTCTCAAATGTAATCTTATCTTTAAGATTTTTCAAATCTATTTTTACTGTGCTTAAATTTTTGATTTGATCAATTTTTAATTAACACGAATATCAATAAGAAAAATGTTGTAAGACTGTTAAGCAAATGAATAAGATAATAGTTTAAAAAACTAAAAAAAAAAAAAATTTTATTTTATGAATCAATGTAAATTGTTCGTAAAACTAGTTTTAAATCAATGAAACATTACGATGATAAAAAACTGTTGATAAAAAATAATGATAAAAAATTTTGTTACAGAATGGATTTGGATCATTTTAAAATCATAATTTTTTCATCTTATCATTTTCAATTCTCTTTTTCCTTTTCCAGTTTTCTGTAAAAAAAAAAGAAAAAAACAAAAAAAAAAAAAATTTTAACAACAAAGACAATTAATTTATTTTTCTTTCTCTTTAGACTTCCTCTTTAGACTCTCTCTTTAGACCATTTTTAAACCACAAAAATTTGTAAATTTAAATTTAAATTTGAACATAAAAAAATTATACTTTTTGTCAAAATTAAGTATTTGAAAATTTTACTCTCAGATTTGCAGTGATAAAAATGTACCTTTAACGAAAATTTTTCCTAAATTTCACTCAGCTATGGCAGATAAAAATTCATTGTAGTGATTTTGTTTATTAGATCAATTTCACTTTATGATAAATAATTATCACTTTATTAGATTAATTTCACTTTATGATAAATAATTATCACAAAGTAATAATCTCTAAACGATTAAAATCACATTTATTATTTTTAAAAAACTGAAAACATTTAATTAAAATAAAAATGCATTTCATATTTTTATTCATATAAATTTGTTGAGATCACTAGATCACCTAGAAAAAATGCATTCATTGTTCATCGCTATATTTCAAATAAAAGTTTATCACAATTTTAAATTGAAAATGTTAAAATAAGAGGAGGAAATGAAAAAGGAAAATAAGTTCTATTTTATCATAAAAGTTAAATTATTCAATTTTTAGAATAAAATACAAAAAATTTGAGATAATTTTGAAAAATCCATCTATCACTACCTGAACAATTTACCTGAACAGAATAGAATACAAAATGAAAACTTTTTTTTTTATAATTCTTACTAATATTACAGCAAAAAAGAAAAAAAATACATAATTCCCTTTCATAATTTATAATTTTTATTTTATCAAATAATTTTTTGCAAAAAAAAAAAGAAATGAAAAAAAGTATTACAAAATTGTGACATTGAAATAAAATAGAAAAAATAGCTTATTGACATAAATTCTTATACTATCATAAAATTATCATATGATAAGCAGTGATCATATCATATCAGCTGAGGAAAATTGATTTCATTGTACATTTTAAATTTGTTTTGATTCAATTTTTTTTTGCTTACAAAGCAAATATTAGAAAAATAAAGTGTAAATATTGTTGCAATTTTGAAATATTTTGCAAGAATGTATTGCTGTGGTCATTTAAATGACCAATTTACATTGACCATTAATTACTAAATTCCTAATGACCAATCGGAATTTAGAAGAAAATCCCGTTATCATGATATATTATTCTTATCTTCTAAAAATATATCTTCAAATCCTATTATCAATGTTTTATGCTATGCGAAGAACATATTGTCAAGCTATCACTGATAAACTTGCTTTGTTTTAATTTTTTATTTTATTTTATTTTTATTTTTGTTTCAATTTCACAAATTCCATACAAACATTCCGGTAGGAGTGGAAAGATTAATTAGTGATAGTGATAGTCCTGATAATTAAACCTGATTTATCTGATCACCAACTCACCTGAAGCGATAAATAAGATATTTAATTGCAAGAAATATGCATGCAATTTGCATGCATGCAAGTATTAGATTGCATGTAAGTTTATTCTAGTTGAGAACTGCTATAGCCATTTATGATAAATAGTCACTGATTCACTTCAGCTTGTTTTCTTTAGGCTAATTAAATGCTAATCACTATGATTATTATCATTTTCTGTAATCATATGATTTCTGGAGAGATATCAATAATCATGATTACTGATTTTACAAGTTGTATCACTTCATCTCACATATCAGTAATGGAAAAGATTAAAGAGCAAAAAGTAAATTATTCTTTTTCTTCTGTTTGCTAAAAAATAAAATTTTACTATCATTTTATTTTTCCATTTGCAAAATTTCAATTTCCGGTACACAGTCACGCTCGTCATCAATCGTTTCTGGAAACAGGAACTGAAAATTTCAAATCCTTTACTAAGAATTATTTAAATTCATTTGTTTGCAACAGGCATAAATCAGATGCCAAGATGAATCATAATCAATTATCATCATCATAGTTTCGAACAATCTAAAAAGCAATCTGCCAGGTAATTAATTAATTGGGAAATGCTTCGATAATGAAAGTAGGAAAATTTTTTATATAGTCTGGCATTTTTCTCTATAACAAAGCATTAGTGATATATCACAAAGGTTATCATCATGTTATCATCATCAACACCAACAGCCACTATCATTATCATTTTTTTTTATCATCATCACATGAAGGTAGCACCAATAATGACAGAAGAGTGATAAGAGTGATATATTTGCCAAATAATTTCAACTTATGATCGAGCAGCATATTTTCCATGTCGTGGGCATGGACAGTAATGAGCATCTGGTCCTGGCATACCTGTGCTACCTGGCTGAAATGTTTTTTTTAAATTATTATCGGTTATTTCTAATTTTATATGAATAATTATAATTTATTATTTCAATAATTACCGTTCCAGTTTTGCCATCTTTGCCAGATTTTCCATCCTTACCAGCTGCACCTTGTGGTCCCTGTTCACCAGGTTCTCCATCACTTCCTTCTGCACCATTTATTCCAGGTTCACCAGCTGGCCCTGGAGGTCCTTTAGGACCTTTTGGTCCAACTGGTCCAACACCACGCTTACCATCTTTTCCAGGTGGACCAGGTTTACCAGGAGGACCATCTGGTCCTTGATCACCTGGCATACCTGGTGGTCCAGCTTTTCCAGGTTGTCCAGGTTTGCCATCTGGTCCTCTTTTTGCACAGTCACCCGGTACACCAATACCACCTGGAAGACCAGGTTCACCAGGTGGTCCTGGTGGTCCTGCTGGACAATTGATACAACCACCAGGAATATGGAAAGTAGCCAAAAGTGCAACACCATTAACACCTGGACGTCCATCATCACCATTTGCTCCATCAAGACCTTTCAATCCTGGATCACCTTGAGGACCAGGAGGACCTTTTGGACATCGATCAGACGATGCGCTACATTCTGAAAAATACACTGAATTATTAAATATTTCTTATCTTGTTTCATTTAGAATTCAAAATATATTGAATCTTTTACTATTCAAGAAATATGAATTAGTAATATCTATTTTTTGTTATTTTTTGTTTTTTCTTTGAGGACAAACTAACGACAATGTGCTGGGAACTGTCGTTTAGCTCGCAAAACAAGACTCTCGAAATTGCGCTCATATTTGTTTTCATTATGAAGTTCATTTGATCGAACAGATAGAATTTTACTCCATGTATCATCTGCTATTTCCTATTGTAAAAAAAAAAAAAAAAAAAAAAAGATTAAAAGATTATTTATTTTTTGAATAAAATTATGATAGATTAAATCATTTAATTGAATGAAATGAATTAATGTTATAAATAATTAAACAAAATCGTAGTTAATTTTAACAATTACTTATTTTTATGCGTATATTTTCTACATTTAATATGGAAAAGAAAGTAATGTAGTTTTGAATAAAAATTGAAATATTATTACTTTCATTTTATTTTAGCTAAATTTTTTTTTAAAAAAAGGGGAAAGTATACAAACTAAAAGATACCTTAAAGTCAGTCATTTCAATGATAACATCACTGTACAAATCATTGATATTACTAAAGAGAAAGATCACAGCAATCACTGATAAACCCATGATAAATGCACTAGCCGCCATTCCAAGTGCTATAACTAATCTTTCTGCCATCGTTACAACTTGGCGCTAATGGCAGTACTAACTTTTTTCTTTAAATCTGAAATGCTTCTTTTTTTATTTATCAACTAATTAAGTTTTTGTATTTAATTAGCGAAAGATTAGAAAAAGATTAAATTTTCTTAGACTTTTTCAAATTCACAATTTATTTGCAATCAGTGTAATTTAATGAAGAAAACATAAAAATCATTGTAAAACAGATTATTGCTAATTAATATTTATTTATCAATTAAAAACTTGAAATAAAAGAAAATCGTATTTGTATTATTTGTATTGCAAAGCAATGTTTCATTTAAATGTGTTAAATTATTTTCTTTTCAAAAAGTTAATTTTACTCGTAAAATTAATATAGCAAAGTTAACTTGAAATGGTAAGCTTAGGATAGATGAATAAATTTAAATGTATGCTATATCATTTTAATAAATACATTAAAGACTATAAAATGTGTAATACAATAAAATTTTATTTTTCAAAAAAGGAAAAAAAAAGAACCAAAAATACAATAAGCACTAAAATGCTATTAGCAATTATATTATTTAAAGTAATAAAATGTGTAAAAAATATTATTAAAAATTTTTTAATACAATTTCTGTAACGCTAAAATGAATGCATTTTTTAGTTGTAAGTAATATTTAAAGTAATATTACGTAGTCTCAGTTTAAAAAAAAAAAATTGGCCGATGTTTCCTAAATATACAAATATGATAGTTCCATTAATTAAAATTTTTACAATTCTTTCTTCCTTCTCTTCCTCACTTCCACCTTTTCATTCTTTGATTAAAATACTTTTTCATTTCGCTTTTTTTTTTCTTTTCTTTTTTCACTTAAAGAAATATGTAAATATAATTGTATTAATTGCTTGGAACTATGAAATAAACGCTAAACGCAGAAATGTGTGTATGTTAGTTAATAATTCACTAATTTTAATTTTAGGAGTGAAAAAGAAGAAAGAAAGAATAAAAAAAAAGGAAAGAGAAAGAGAAAAGAAAAAGTTTTCGGAATTTTTTGATTCAAAAGTCGTCGATCATTTAAACTTTTTTCACAAATTGTTAATTTATATAAGAAGCGGAAAAGTTAAAAAAAAAGGTACAGAGTGCAAATTTTCATTTTTTTTTTTTTTGTTATCAACCAAAAAAAACGATTCTTTTTCATTTTCAATTTTTTTTTTTTTTTTGTTTTCTCTGTAAAATTTAAAAAAAGAAATTTTATCAAATATTTATCAGGCAAATTTTACTCTTTTGGTATAAAATATAATTGAAATTTTAATTAGATGAGTTTTAGAAAAAAGAATTTTAATTATTAATTAGTCAGTTTTAACTTTATTAAATAGTAAAAAATATTTTATAAAAATAATATGAAAATAATGAAAACATAAAAGAAAAGACATAAAACAATAAATAGAGTTAAAAATTAAGTAAAAAAAAGTTAAAAATACATAGCTGATTATTCGGGAACACTTAAATAAAATAATTATATAATAAATAAAACTAGGCAATATAATAAAATTATCTAATGATTTTATATTTTTAGAATTTTCAAATAAAAAATTGAAAATAACTGGTATAATTAATTGGATATATCTCGGGCATAAAAGTAAACCGGGAAAATTGGGTAAATTTCGGGCATAGAAGATAAACCGGGAAAATTGGGTAAATTTAGGGTATAGAAGATAAGCCGGGAAAATTGGGTAAATTTCGGGCATAGAAGATAAACCGGGAAAATTGGGTAAATCTAGGGTATAGAAGATAAACCGGGAAAATTGGGTAAATCTAGGGTATAGAAGATAAATCGGGAAAATTGGGTAAATTTAGGGTATGGTAGATAAACCGGGGAACCAAGAAAATGAGCTCATTTAAAGAAAATCGTATGTAAGCAGAAAGTACTATTAATTTCAGTTAACTAACTATAACTGAAAGTGGAATGCGTTTCTTAAGAAGCGAAATTTTTTCCGTTTTTGGTCAACTGGTTCTTCTGTTTTTTAAAATTAAGAAAAAAAGTCAAAAATTAAAAAAAAAAAATTTTTTTTTGAAAGCTTAAAAATGTCATTTTTGACTGTTTGATTGATTGAATTTTTTTTCATTTACTAAAATTCCTGTTTTTTTTTTTTTTTTTTTTTCTCTTCAAAACTATGTTAATAGTTTATTATCATAATATACTGATAAGAGTAGAGCATCATCTATTCTTTACTCTGTGATATTTGTTAACTGTAAAAATATCACAGTTAAAAGTGGATGGAATTCATAAACAAATAGAATTGAAATTGTTTGTTGTAAAGTTAGCAAAATTATTTAACCACTGTTGATGACTAAGTGCAAAAGATAGGAAAAATTTTAAATTTCAATACAAAATACAATTCTATTTTGTCAAATGAAAATGATTGTAATGTAATCAAAATTGGTGAATCTTTTTTGATAAATGTATCGGTGACAAATTAATTTAGCAAATATTTATTTGTTTATTTGGTTTCTTTTTTCTTTTCTTTTTGCTATTCACAATTTTATTATAATTATCACAATTTTTAAACTTTTACATCTGATAAAAATTTGAATTAAAATATATAATTTAACATATAATGATAAAATTACAAATAATAATAGTTTTTTTATTTTTTTAAATCTATCCCTTAGCTTTTTTTTGTAATACAAATAAGCGAATTTTATTACAATTATTTTGTTTACTTAATTTTCTTATCGAACTATTCACAAATAATAATAATTTTTTTTAAGCGTTCAATTTCAAGAAAATTCATTTTTGTGAAAAATTTAGAAATAATTTTTATAAGTATTCTGTGTTATTAAAATATTTTCATAAATTAACGAACATTTAAAGAAATTTGATTTTTCAGCATTTTTTTTTTTTTATTTTGCTATTGTTGAAAGCGTAAAATTATTTTACAAAAAAATTTACATTTGCTATAGGCAAAGAATAAAATGAAAAAAAGTTATTGAAAATTAGCAAAAACTAATTTCATTTACTAATTATTCAATTTGTGTTAAAATTAATTCATTTTTTTTTCTTTCATTTTAAGGTTTCAATCGTTTTATGAAAAATTTTTAAATATTTGTAAATTATTAGTTTGAAAAATTTGAAAAAATAAGATTATGTTGTCATTAAATAAATTAATATTGTAATTATCATTAATTAAAATTGTACCTTTAATAATTTGAAAATGAATGAATTTTGAATTGTTACAAAAACATTTAGCTAAAAAATGATAAAGTTTTGCAGATAATTTCATCAAAAATTTATTTTAACGATTGATTATAATTTTTTTTTTTTTAAACAATGATTGAAAATACTACGGTAAGCGCACTGATACATATTCATCGAGAGTAAGTTATGCCACATTGCGCCACAATACAATCAGTGAAATAAATTATTTCGAGAATGAAAATAAACTGGTCGAAAATCTCGAAATATACTATTTGGATAGTATTTTCATTTCGATAAAAGTAAACTTTTTAATCTAAAATGAATAAATTTTTTTTTTGTTGTTGTTATTTTAATTATTTAAATATTAGACAAATTTTATAGAAATGTAACAAAATGAATTGAATTATAAAAATTTAAAGAAGAAAAAAGCAAATCAAACAGATAACACTATGAGGCGTTGAAATTTGTAATTAATAATTATTTTAATAAATAAAAATGAAACATTTCGTTTCTTTCTTTTTTTTTATTATCCATAAATTTAATTTTCATTATTTCATTCTCAGTTTTCTTTTTTTTTTTTTTTCAATTTGTGCAATTTGAAATGCTCAGAATTTTTTAATACAAATTTTTTTATTTTTGTTAACTGAATAGCATAATATTTTTGCAAGTATCGTTACAGTACTGTAAAGTAATAGAAAGTGAATGTTAAATGAGTTTTGGCAAATTTAAAATTTAAAATTTCAAATTCCATCAATTCTATCATAAGAATTAAATTTTTTTAAAAATAAAAGAAAGTAAAATAGCAAAACAAACAAATACATAAAGTTAGCGTTTAAAATTAAAAATAATTATTTCTCACATCGATAAATTATTGTTTTAAGGAAAATAAAATTGTTAACTTTCAATTGAGTAAATTCTATTATTTATATGAGAACGAGAAAAAACGAATTGTTTGAATTTTATCTCTTCGAAATGTCATTCTATCAATGATACTAAGATTGCATCGTTGCAACGAGAATAAATTCACTGATAATGCTGATAAGTCAGCCATTGATAATTGATAAATTTATGTTCAATCAATACAAATATTATTTGATTGAAGGAAGCATTTTCTCGATCACATTTATATGGCATTGAGAAATTTTCAAATTTTTAAATTTTGCAAATTTAAAAAAAAAAAAATATTAGCAGCAATTGCATTAATTGTTTGCTTTTGATAAATTCCATTTTTTGCATTATTCTTTTCATTTGCTTTTGCATAAATTTAACTTTAAATTTTTGCTTCTCCAATAATATTTCCTTTAAAAAATTTCATTACTACTAAACAATTTGAAATAATTAAAAATTTTACATTACAAAATGCATTCATTCATTCATATAAAATCTATGATAGAATCATTCGTTGCAAAATAATTAATTTTTTTGATTAAAATTTTGAAATTTATCAAAAATTATTCATTTAAAATTTAAATAGTAGTAATTAGTTGAATATTTGTATCTTTTAAGGCTTAGGCTTAAATTTTTTGAAATAATAAGGCTTGTAAAACAATCAATGATAATTTCATTAATTGATAATTTTGAATGATAAAACTCTCACTAATTTTATAGTAATATTTCCAAAAAAAATGTTGAATTTGATGCATTGAACCTGTAATTGTGTATGTTTGTGTTTTTTTTTTCATGAAATTATCATACAAAATAAAATGAAAATAAAATTCAGTGCACTTTTAGTAAAATTAATTGCATCGTATCTAAGCCGTCGTACTGTCTCATTTTCTTTCTTTTTTAAATTTGAAATAAACAAATACCAACAAAAATTCTTCTTTCGCTTTTTTTTTTCTT